TCTGTTTGAAATTGAAATATAAAAGATTATAATCTTCAAGGATGAGGTAATAAGAGGCAAATTTTGAGGTCAAATACTCTTCCGGTCAATTGACTGATTTTGACCGGTCAATTGACCGACTAAAAAGTATTCAAAAATCATCTTTAAAACCTAGGTTTTTAATTAATTTATGACGATTTACAAAGTTAGGAATTTATTGAATCCTTTGGATGTGCAGCACATGGCTAGAATCTGTTAATTAAAAATTTATGCCAAATACGTTTTATTGAAAGAAGATCATCAAAAAAGCCAAACATATAATTAAATTATAAAATTTAATGATATTTTATTGGTAACTTTAAAAAAAGGCAAATATTGAAAGGATATAAGTCTTCCTTAACCCTTCACTACAAAGGTGGGGTAAACAATACCCCACGACTTTTATAATGTTGGTAATAAAAAAACCTGAAGATATTTTGACCTAGTTTTTATAGTAGTTTAATATTTTCTTATAAAGAATATATCTACCAAATTTCAAGATAATTGATTTGATATTTTTTAAAATATTTGCAGTAGTATAGGTCCTACCTTTGTACTTAAGTAATTTTTTTTTTTAGTATTTATTATCTCCTATATTTTTTAAATATATACTCATAATTTTAGATCTCAATTTTTTATATGTTCTGAGATATAGCTATTTTTATTATAATACATTTTTACAAAATTTTAAATAAAAATATGGGTATTGTATTATATATATTCTAAAAATAAAAATTAATGTCTTTTCTTTCCTTAGGTGGTCTGGTATATTCTAAAAATTAATAACTTTTCCTTTCCTTCATCATTATGTTGGAACGAAGTAAAATAAAAATACACCGCCTCCCCCCCCTTCCCCCTTTGTTAACTAAAATAAATTTATATTTAACAAAAAACATCTGGGGCTGGGCATATAAAAAATAATTTTAATAATAAACAACATTAAATTTGATACAAAAAAATAAAATTATTCCTCCGCCCCTAAATGATGAGGTGCCAGCAAGGCGTTAATGAATTTAAATTTATTTTTCAGAGAATTATTTAGTATATAATAATTTTTTATAATTATAAAAAAAGCTTTTTTCTTTACTTATTTTTTTGGATTATATTTTTTCTTCAATATGATGATAATGGAAACAGAAATAGAACAAGTAATAACAAAAAATACTATTAAGTAATATAATAATAAGTTTGAGGTGTTTAAAAAAACAGAAATACCACATTTATGTATTAGGAAAAAAATAGTTAAAGTGAATATTTTTTCAAATTTTTACAATAATTTTTTTTTAAAAATATAACATAAGAATTTACCTATGAAATGTTTATAGAATATCGTATGTAATTGGAAAATTAATTTTTTGGAAGTGTAATACTGTATTGTTAATGATCTTTATTTCAGATTCTATCCTTAAATAATAATCTATAATTACAAATACAAAAATAATAATTTACATAATGATTTAATTTTGTAAGAAAATATTATATTTTAAATTGCATTCTCGTTTAGTTTTGAGTGTTCCGAAATTGGCATCTTTCTTTTTATATCTTTATTTTAATTTTTTCATTTCAGGCTGGGACAGCAATTTGGTTACTATGTCAATTTTCTCTTTATTCCAGCAATTAAATTTTCTTTTTGGGTTTTGAATTGCCGGTGAGTTTATAGGGTTTATTATAGTAAAATTGGCACTTATAGCAGATTGCGAAAATGATGTGGAAAAGGAATGATTAGATAAAAAGGAATTATTATTATATAAAGAAGAATTTCTAAAACTATTATTGGTATTATTGGATAATCTATTAGGGGAGAAGTGCCATGAATGGCCATGTTTTTGCTTTTTTGAAAAAAAGGTATTAAGAATAGGGTTATATTGAAGCAAGGAGTTATTTACACGGCAAGGATGCCATATAGAAATGAAACATTTTGGAACTATAAAATAAGGGCCAGAATGATATGATGAAACAATTAAGTTTTTATATATTATCGCACCACCTCTAGTTGGTATATTAAATCTTAAAATAATAGTAGTTTGTAAAAATATCAAAAATATACTTGTATTAAAAATTTAACTCAAAACTGTTTTTTGAAAAAGAAAAAAATAGCTTTCCTAATGTAAAAAAGAAAAGAAAAGATATCAAATTTATTACATCTATTGTAGGATGAATAATAAAATGTTTAATTTTTAAAATTATTTATAACTAAATAGATGGCGATAAATACCTGAAAACAAATTGTTAGTATATTTATTATCAAAAGCATTTATTAGTAAAATTTATAATAAAATTAGCTGTAATATATTATAACTATCAAATAAGTCTATAAAAGTGGCATTTTATCTAATATTTTATAAACAACTGTATATAATAGAAGATTATAAACTATATGTCTACTTACTTATTTTTTATTATACTTATTTGAACCTTGAAAATAATTTTAGGAATAGGTATGATAAAAAAATTTAAAAATAAATATACAGTTGATTAGATATTTTGAACTCTGCTAATTACAATATTAAATTTTTTAGTTTCAATTAATAAATGATTATATTTATTTAATTAGGGTTATAAAATAATTTAAATAATAATAGTCTATTCGCTAGCCTTTACAATCTCAGGGGGCTCAACTGCCCCCCATACCCCCAATTAGCGGGCCTTCGCCCGGGTTTTATATTAATATATTATACTTTTTTAAATTTGCTAACTTTAAACAATTATTCTGAATTTCATATTTTGTCATTTATTATATTTTGCATACAAAATAAACTAATATATAAATAATTAAAACAATACAAGACATATCTAAAAATAATATTTTTTAATACAAAATCTATTTATTACAGTATAAAATATTTTCGATGGTTGATATAAAAAAAATTTGCGTCTAAAGAATTACAAGTGATAAAAAAGGTTAATTAATTCATACATATGCCTCATTTGATAATGGTTTTTAAAAATCACATAAGGCTATATAATTCCTAGCAACTTACATTGACAAAAGGTCATGAAAAATATAACTTTCTGTTACCATTTTAGACAATGTTTTATAGAATAGACTAATAAAAAAAAATCATAGGCCTTACCAAATTAACACTTCTTGAAGAGAATATAAAGGACCAATCCAAATCATTATATGGTAGTTAGAGCTTCCTCTTGGGTGGGATGATGTAAGCTAGATAAGCAATCAAGAAAATTATTGTGAAAATTATTGTGAGATATTAAATTTCTAAAAGATTATCTTCCATTTTTAATGATATATAAACGACTATACAGTTGACCATTATTGCATATCTAAAATATGCAAGTAATTTACAGTCATAGCCATGAGACTCACGATGGTAACCCATATAAGAATTTATTATGTTGGAATTGATGAAACAAAAACACTAAAAATCTTTAGAAGAAATTATGCAAATATATTGAAGCCTTGAATTATTTACACGGCAAGGATGAAATATTAGAAATGAAACATTGTGTAACTATAAAATAAGAACCAGAGTTATATCATGAAAGCAATTAAAATTTTATATATTATTGTCGCACCATCTCTAGTTGGTATATTATATCTTAAAATAATAGTAATTTGTAATAATATCTAAAATATATTCGTATTAAAAATTTAACTCAAAACTGTTTTTCAAAGAAGAAAAAAATAGCTTTCAGAGAAGAAAAGATATATAATTTATTACATCTATTGTTTGATGAATAATAAGATGTTTAATTACAAAAATATTTTAAATAAATAGATGGCGTAAATAGTTGAATGCAAATTGTTACTTATATTTATTATCAAAAGCAAAAAGCATTGATTAGTAAAATTGTTAAAATATTAACTAATATATTATATAACTGTCAAATACATCTGCAAAAGTGGCATTTTACCCAATATTTTATAAATAATTATATATAATAGAGAATTATAAACTATATGTTTACTTACTTTTTATAAATAAATCTCTTATACATATTTGGATTTGGACCTTGAAAATAATTTTAGAAAGAGACATGATAATTAAACGTAATAATCAATAATATAGTTGATTATTGATGTTAAACTCGGCAAAATAGAATTAAATTTGTTAATTTTCAATTAATAAATGATTATATTAATTTAATTAGGGTTATATAATAATTTAAATAATAAAAATCAATTAAGATTCAACTGTTAATGCTAAATTAATATTTAGTGAATGATATTGATATATTTTTAACACAGAATTTGATCGCAAGCTGTCATAGTGAAAATATAATTTATATGTATTAATCTAATCTAATCTAATCTAATCTAATCTAATCTAATCTAATCTAATCTAATCTAATCTAATCTAATCTAATCTAATATAATCTAATCTAATCTAATATTTAAAATAGTATTCATTTAATAAAAATTTATGTAGTCTTATTAATTTTTAAATAATAAAATTAAATCTATATATTACTCAATAGAATTATAAAAGAAATTGTGGAGCAATTAAAACAATTTATTTTTAGTTCAAGGGGATATTAAGGAGTCATTAGAAATTTTTTTTTTGATTCAGGGGGCTATTCAAATTTTTTAGCTCAAGCCCCTGCGTCCTCCCTAGCGACGCCACTGATAATTTCATACTATACTTTTTGACGTTAATTATGAATTTCAAAATTTATATCAGCTGGGAAAAATAAATTATAAATAAATAATTACTTAAACTAATTTCGAATTCAAAAATTGACGAAATAGCGTTATTAGAATATGAATGGGATTGATAAAATTCTATAATTATATGATATATTCCATTTAATCAATTTAAGTTAAAAAAATATATTTAAATTTGGCTATAGCAAATTTTCTCATTTAAAGGGTTCGAATTTATGCGATATGTTATTAATTAATTCAATTATATTAAACTTTCAATTTTTGAGTTCAAAAATTAAATATGCACAAAGTATTAAAATACATAGATTTAATATCATAGTAGAGTTCAAAATCAAATACTCTAACAGCTGATTTTACAATGCATTAGACCATATGTTTGCATGATAATTTGAGATTTTTTTTTATTCGAACCTTCATTACCCATATTCATATTTAAATAGTTATATTAATACTAGTATAGTAATATAATAAGCAAGTTATAAATATTTGCTAAGTAATTAAAATTATAATTCATATTTATCATAAATTTAGACTAAATGGTTATTCAATTGTTTATTTATATTGAGAAGATTTAAAATTATATTAATAGCAAATATAAAATTGGAATATTTATATTGGTATAATTTCATATATAATATAACTGGTTATTGAATGACATAAAAAATATTTTAAAAAATTACAAAATAAACTCAAAAATATAATTTAAGATAGTCTCATCATGAAACATTTTGAAAATCTGTATAGTTTTATAACTTGTGTTTAATATATTTATCTTCAATAGATATCTCATTTAAACTCCTTAAATGTTTTATTAAGAAAGTAAGAAAACATATTTTTTAAGAATCAAATTAAATATTTTTTATGTCATTTTTTTTAGATAATAAAACCTTTTAATCATATTTATAGCCAAGATTTTGTTTAGAAGAGAGAAAACACTATTATTCTTGTTTCTCTAATTATTGAAGACTTTAGAGCTGCTTATTGCAGGATTGTCAGGTTACAACCTTTTTCTTATTAGATTAAAAAATATTTTTGAATTATGGTCATTATTGTTTGTAGTTACATTTAATAGACAGGCCACAATACCTAATAGGAATTTTGTATACAAGGCCATAAAAGGAAAAGTTAATTTAATTGAAAATATCAGGTCCATTCTAGTTTCATAATATGCCTTATATAGCATATATTAGTGGGATCATATTTAAATTGTATCTGAGAAATCCATAATTTGCTTGTTGGAAGTGTAGCTTTTATTTTGGTTCTCGAAGTAATTTCTGGGATTGATGATCTTGCATTCTAATTTTTCAAGCCCTGCCCTAAATTTAGAAGAAAAAAAATTGTCCAGGAAAGCTTGATCCTGAACAAATTTTTTTATTTGTTTTGAAAAGCCCAACCCAAAATATAATATTTATCTGACTGGGCTGAAATTTTTTTTAAAAATAGTTCCAACTTAGCCATTTTTTTAATGGGTCAGATCTACTTTTGCAGATAGAGGCTACACACAGTTCCGAGTCAGTAGGACATTTTACCAAACCCTACATCACCTGGATAAAATTAACATGGTTAATTAACCTATTAGGAGAAATCCATTATGCTCTTTGCGAATATAAATTATTTATATATCTATATCTTCCTCTTATTTTATATATATTTATATTTTTTTAGGGCACTTTTCCTAAAATTGCCCTACTGTATTTAAAAAAATGTATTCTGCGCTGAATACCATTAGTCGAAGCATGAAAAGGAAAGGCAAGTTTTTGAAAATGGATGCCGGTATGACCAAAAAAAACCTATCCTACTTTCCGCCTTACTCTCAAACAAAGCAAGGCAAAAAGGAGCCCATAAAGAGGAAGACGATAAAGAAATTGATGGTCGCCAATCGAGGTAGTAACAAACAATTCATATATATAATAATAGTTAATGTTAAAGTCTAGATGCTCCTATCTTAACCGAAAAACGAGGCATGTCAGATTTTAGTAAATTATTTGATGCCATTTATAGTAACTATTTATCCTCTAAACCTAAAACTTGAAGAAAAAATGTTCCCTCCAATTTCTATACATAAATAAATAGATAAAAATAAAAGACAGTATTATCATTTCTAACTAACTTTTGATGACGGTTCAAAAAAAATCACCTAATTCTGGAGACATGTGTATTTTCAATAGAATTAGAATATCAGCTAGTATTAATCAAAATGATCTAGAAAAAAATGTAGTTCTCGTTCTTAAAAAAGAGTAAATAAGGGGTAAATTAAAAATCCAATCTATAAAAATAAATAGGAGTTTAAACAAATTGGCTATTCAGCTGATAGTAATCATTTGAATTGCCATATTTACGAAAATTAACACATCCTTTCCTGCATAAAAATAAAATAGCCTAGTTAAAATTGCTTGGCCTAATATATTATCTTCTTTTTTTGTGAAATGTATTTGATATAATGCAGAATATTATTTAGTTTTATTTATAGTTAAATCTATTTCTCATAATTTGTAAATTTCACTGAGTTTATATATACATGTTAGCGTCAATTATTTATTTTATTTTTTCAACTTTAAATCATTTTTTGAGCGCGTTTTTAAAAATTTAAAAATCTGATTTTACCGAAAATGTATGCCGACATGTTTGAAATATTTCCCTATGAATTTCAGACAATTTTTCCATCAACATTTAAACTTAATATAATCGATATTAAATTTTCCATATATGTTTTATATAAATTATAAATGGCTCAAGGATTAACAGCAAAATAGTCTAAAATTCATAATATAGGTATTCCAAACATGATAGAATATATTTCCGGTAAAATTCGATTTTTAAATTTAAAAAAACGCTCTCAAGAAATGATTTAAAGTTGTAAAAATAACACATTGCCAGAAAAAACACATTGATGCTAATATATATATTTGGAAACAAACAGATAATTTTTATTAGTTGTAGATTAAATGAACGAAAAATTTAATTTTTAAAAAAAAAAAATCCAGTCTTAATTTCGAAAGTAAATAAGTATTCGTAATAATGATTTCGATTCCAAATGAAAAAGGAAGCCTTATTATTTTATCTTGCCAAAGTTATTTTAGACGGATATTTTCATCTAATTAATACTTTCGTTTAATTAGCACTATAAAATTAAAAAGTAACCTTATTGCATGATTGGCAAAATTGAATTGTTATAAATTCTCGATTTAAAAATAAAATCAGCATTAAAACATAATATTCGCCATTAATAACGGCACATGTTACAAGGAAGTATTTTTCTTCATGTATATGTTAAAATCATAGGTTAAAATAAATAATATGATTAAGTTTGTAAATATTTATTTTTTTATTAATTAAATAAATAACGAATTAACATATATACTTTTATTACTCTAGAAATCTAAAAATATAAATATTTATTAAAGATCGGCGCAGCCCGAAGTCTAAAAGTTTCCATAGGTCGGGAAAAAAATTTCGGGGCGGGTAACTTGTGGCAAAATAATTTTCGGACGGGTCGAGTCGGACTTGGCATAGAATTAGACAATATTATACTGGCTAGGGAACTTGTGAAAAATGGAATTTGCATGCCGGGGTAGACCGTAAAACATTTCAAACTTTACAGACAGGTTTGGGCAGGACCAACTATGAATTCTTATTGCATTGACTTAATTTTGCCATGTTTAGGACAAAAAATTATTAAGAAATTTCAGGCTTATATGAATAATCTAGGGCTAAGATAAGAATGATAGAACAAAAAAATGAATAAAAAAAGGAAAGAAGGGATAGAAAGGAAAAAACGGATCGAAAGAAAAAGAAGATAAGTTAAAGAAAGAAAAAAAAAATGAAGAAAAGAAATCTCGAAAACCAGATTTAAATTTTATATTTCAAAGAAAAATAGTGTTGATTAAGAATACTATTTACGTTTCAGGTTACTTTTTAAAATGTGTTAAATATTTACATATACTCGTTACTTAAAAAATATTAAATACTATATATAAATGTTGTTAAACGACTCGATTTTTATAATCGGCAAACCAAATATTTTAGGCAAGAAAATTACACAAGCCTCGAGATTTCGGTAATAGATGTCTAAATCTTTCTGCCATCTATGAGCAAAATTTCTAAGAATGCGGAATATTTTTTAGTTAAAATATTGGGTTAGTCGTTTTTAAAAATCGAGCCGTTTAACAGCACTATATATAAATTTTCTTTTATCTTGTTCCTATAAAAATAATAAAAAATAAAATTAGACAAAATATAATATATTTATAATTTTATAAGTTAAGTTCGTTTTGGTAAATAATTTTTTATTTACACTTAATAACAATTAATTTTTTAAATATTAGATAAACAAGAGCGCTTAGTACTCTGTGCTAAACACACGTTTAACTGAAGTACTATTGACATATACTCTTTATAAAATAAATTATAGTATTAAAGAATATAAATTAACATACTTTTATTGATTCAATATTAATTAGATTAACAATGTGACTGAATAAAATTCAACAAAAATGTATAAATAAAATAAAAATGAAGAACTTTGGTGGTTGATCTGAATTAAAACTATAAATTATTTATTAAGTTTAAAAATATAATATAGTAATCCTCTCATTTTCTGCCATTGAAAAGGAAGAAGTCCTTAAAAAGCAAATATATTGGCCTCACAAATACAGTGTTCATACCCGTTACTAACACCTTGGACATGTTAAGAAAGGCCCTTAATTTTTCAAAACCATAGGCAAAAAAAGGGGACAGGTTACAGGCGACCCCAACGAAGGATTCTACCTTCGCCATCAAATTTCTCACGAAATCTGACCGATCAATTTCCTAAGCATTTTTAATGTTTTTTATATAAAATTTATAAATATATATTTTTTCATATAAATTTTAAAATATTCTTATCTGTTATTTTTAAAATATATTTCATTTTGATATCGATTGTGTTGTATTTTATTTCTGAACTCGATTTTTTTCAAATAAGATTATTCAAAGAAACCAAAAAAAATATAAATAAAAGACACTTATACCATATTAAAAAAAACGAGCAACGTTTTGCGTTATTCACAAAAAGAAACGCGATAATCATACTCCTTTGAAACAAGTAAGTAACAAATGACCTTTCTTTTCCTTAAAAATTAACGCCATTAGCAACGACGTTACTTTGCAATAGAGATCTGCAAAGTTAGGCCCGGCCCGTACTCGGACCCGAACGGGCTTTGGGCCAGGCTCGGGCCTAATTCTATTTAAAATAATCGGGTTCGGGACGGGCCGGGCCTAATATTTTTAAAAAAATTTGGGCCGGGTCGGGTCGGATTTCGGAAATTTTTTAAAATATATCAAAATTTATCAATTTTATATTGAATTTTTTATGTAAAATAAAAATATTTGATTTTATTTATTAAAATTAAACGACATATAACATATGTCTTTTATTTTGAGTAATTATAAAAATTAATTTCTATATTTAAATAAATTCGGGCCGGGCCGGGTCGGTAAATTTAAAAAAAAAATTTGGGATCGGGCCGGGCCGGCAAAACTCTTTTAAAAAAATTTTGGGCCGGGCCGGGCTTGAAAAATTAGGCCCGATGCAGATCACTACTTTACAATACTATTAATGCTTAGTTATATAAAAAAATATATAAAGTAACTTTCAAATTGTAAACTAGTTACAAGTTACTTTATTAAAAATTTAACTAGTTTGACTAGTTACATTTCTAGGATGCACTTATAAAAAAACTATGAAATGAGGCTATTTACTAAATACTTTTTCTTACATTTATAGGCGAGATAGCCATTCGAATATTTCGCGCTTGCCACGAATTGGGTATACGTTCAGTGGGCATATACTCTACGGAAGATATGATGCAAATGTATAGACAAAAAGCGGACGAGGCCTATATTGTAGGTAGAGGACTAGCGCCTGTCCAAGCATATCTCAATATTCCAGAGATCGTGAGAATTGCTCAAGTGACTTTTTTTTAAAATATAAGATTGGGCTATGGTGCACAAAAGTAAATTTTTAATTTTAAAAGCGCTAATTTTAAAAAGATCCAGGATTAATTCCTATTCATGTGAAATTAGTGTTGTTAAAAAGCCCGATTTGGGTCGATTTTTAAAAATGTCCCATTGAGATTTTAGCCAAGGAAGTTTCATAGTTTGGCGAATAGAGGTCCAAACCCTTCCGCTATCTATGAAAATAATCTCCAGGCTTACATAGTATTATTTTGTTATAATCTTAATCGGGCCGTTTTTAATAATCGGCCCAAATCGAGCTTTAACAACACTAGAAATAAATATGTATATTATACATAGAGTTTGAATAAGATTTTTTTTTTTTACACAAAGTTGTGATTAAAAAATCTAAAGATCATAATATTTTTTTAAAAAAATTTGCTATTTCATTATGAAAAATAAAATTACAAAAGATTTTTTACAAAATATATTTGAAATTTTAGTTAAAATTTTATCAAAAATCTTACTTGCGCATTCTCAGAAAAAAAATCTTCAGAGATAAAAAATCATTTAAGATTTTTTTTTATTTTGAAGAGCATTTCAAGCTCTGTAGAGAATAAATATTATAATTAAGTTAGTGTTAAATAATTATTATAAAATTTGCCAAATTTGCAATTTTTAAAGATAGACTACTAGCTAATTTAATATGCAAATATAAAAACATTAAACATAAAAATATTAAGCATTAAAAGCCTTTAAAAAAACTTACTTATAATGTATATAAATTTAAACAATTTTTTTAAATGGCTTGCTGGTAATTTAAAGCTCTCGCATTCATATCCAGATTGCCAAAAATTATTTTCAAGTGTTTTTAAAAGATTAAGTGGGAAACACAGATGCCCAGTTGGGTTAATATTAATATTTAACAAAAAGGCTTACAACATCACATCTTTGATGTTTTGATTAAAAATTATGAGAGTGATAAATTTGGCCGCCGACCTCTTCCAAAATGGTCCTTCCGAAATATTTCGTTTTCACAATGCCAATTCTATACTACCTGGTAATTTATATTGGATATGGACCAGATGATTTGGGCTTGATTGGGACTTTTAATTATAAATAACATTTATATTTGATAGAGGTATCTTTAATCAACAGTTATGTCACATTTAAAATTATTTGCATATGGTTCGCTTCGAAATAATTAGCTGCCATTTTATGTTTTTCTTAAAATTTATCTTGTAAATCGCTTCAAATACATTGGGGCCACTTTTAAATTTTAACAAAAATTTTCTTTCGATATAATTTTCATAAACCTGCAAAATCGAAATTATTTGGCGGCTTAGTGCAAATTTTGTTTTAGATCTAGGTCCCTGTTCCTGACCCATTCCGGTCTTACTAATTTTTTAGATCTGGAGTCGGCTCCTGGCCCATTCCGGCCCTTAAATGAACAGTAACAATTCCTGATTTTTTGAAATTTTTCTTTTAAAGATTCCGATTGATTCCTTGATTGTGATATTCAAATCTGACAAAAAAAGGAAAAAAATAGATAAGTAATATAAAATTAATATTTTTAGGTTATTTTATTTATATTATTGTCGGACTGACGGGCCGATAATCTCCTCGCTACAAAGAATTTTTGTTAGCTTCCAGACTATAACCTTATAAAGATTTTTTTGAGTCAAAATATGTTTATATTATTATAGCTTTCTTATATTATTTTATATATACTTCCGAAAAATGATCTTATTATTAAGAAAATTTAAAATATTTTTTTTAAATCTACCCTACTACCGGTATAATTGGCCAAGTCGTTCTTATATTCATTAATTATATCTTTTTTAAAAATATTCTAACCTTATTCTATAAAAAACAAGCAAGAAATTTCCTATACCATTCGAATTATTAGTTCCATTATCATGTATCTTATTTTTTCACTGGTTATTTCCAGGGATGTGAACACTTCTACAAAAAAAGGGTATCGGTTCAGGTTTGGGTACAGGAATATAATTTAAAAAAGGGTCCGGGTCCAGGGTCCGGGTTTAGAGAACATAAAAAAATGACTCAAAATAAAACTTTTTTTTTATTCAATATATACACTTCATATTATATTTTAAATATTTTTATCAATCGCACAATCATAATATCTTCCAAAATATCATCCTTGAGATTTCCAAGTAAATAAAACAATATATATTTCAAAGAATAAAATGCACCTTCTACGCTGATTTAAATTAGATAAATTCTTTATAATACATATATTATTGTTGTGTCGCCGGTACAGCCATGACGATTCTAGACAAGATATATAATTCTTGGTATATTGAAGAATTTTATCAGATTTTAAAATGTTCATATCCTTATTTATTCTCTTAACCTGAGAACTTTTCTATTAAGGATGTAATAGGTATTGTTTGTTTCTCCTTTCTATCTGATGATAATTTGATTTTTTTTACCTATATCTAAAAGTAAAATTTCAAGATAATCAATGAGGGTTTAAATATATAGAAGCATATACAACACTATTTTGCAAATATTGTTGCTCTCGAATTTGTTTTCTAATATTTCAAATGAAAAGGATTAATAAATCTTTCTAAATCTAATCGGCATCTAATCCATATGCCATATAAATCAGATAAACATAATCATTATGATTGTGATCTTAAAGTTGTTATTTTTAAAGGAACTAATACTCTAGTAAGGTCCTTTTCTTTTAGGAATATAGAATTTATTTAATGTTTCTAATATCATTCTTTTTATATATTCAGAAGTGAACTCTCTTTAATCTCCTTCACAGCTCAATTTCTCAATATTATTATATCCTTTCATATACACGATATTTACTAGAATATTTCTCCCTAATCTTTTTGCGGAATCAATTTATTGTATTTTATCATTTTTACGCGAAAAAAAATGAATGATTCCACGAAAGAATATTAATAAAATGAAATTTATATTATTTTTAAATTTTTTTTATGACACCTAGAACCCTTGGATCCTCCACTTTAAAAAAAGGTCACGGTTCGGGTACAGCCAAAATACGAGGGTTCTGAAGGGTTCAGGGTCTGGTCCGGGTTCAAATCCCTGGTTCATATTCATTAAATCTTTTTATTTTTACCTTTATACCTCTCCTTCACTTCCCTTCTATCAGAAACCTGTCTTTTTTTTACCATATACTCCCTTGGACTTCTCACCATATGTCCGAAACACCTTAATTAGTTTTCCCTCCGGTGGTCTCCTTCATATCCGTAACCTCTATACATTTACGAACTTTGTTGCTTCTAATGTGGTACTTTTTTAGATTAACATTGATCTCAGCATTACCTATTTTTTTCCTCTCCACCCGAGATTTCCTTCTCATCAACCCCCCCCCCTCTCTTAACATTTCGATCCACATAAGACATTAGTGTGACAATCCTTTTATTTACTCTCGTTTCACTCACCTTTCAATTTAAAAGTCAATCTTTTATGAGACAAAACTCCATTTGTATACCTTCATCTCACCCAGACCACCTTCATCCACTCCTTTAAAATTGCAATCTATCTTTCTATCGCTTTTATTGTTCCTTTTTCCCCTCAATTTAGATATTAGTTTCTTATTAAAATTCATTCAAATAGCGAATCTTAAATTTAAAGAAAAATGACATTGTTTTATTAAGTTTTAGTTTTATTAATTCATGATATAAATATGCAATCTCGTTTAAAATTATTATATTTATAATATAGTGGTAAATTTTATTATTCTTTTTATTAAGAGTTATCTTTATTATTTCTTTATTTAAAATAAAGGCTGTTATTTTAAGAGTGTTGAACCATTTCGAAAACCCAGCCTACTATATTATGCCGTAGCCTCGAAGGGATTTAGTAAATTCGCGATTATGCTCTTCATATACCCTGGTTTTTAGCAAATTTATCCTAGGACTTTGACAATTTTATTTTCAAAATATTTTTTTTATATTTGTCTATATCCCACAGGCTATAAAAACATTTGTAAAATTGAATTATTTTATTATCCTTTAGCATTAATTATCCTAAATTAAATTTGAATTGAAACAATTTCATTTTTGTCAAGGGGGATGCTTATTTTTTTGTCTATTTTTTAAAATATCGATAGGGCTATTTTCAAACATAATGTTTTTTCTAAGCTTTTTACGAGGCACGTTTTTTTCAAAATTTTTTCCTTCCAAACAAAAATCTATTTTTTATAATACTGTTAATTTTTTATATTCCAAAATATTTTTATAAATAATTTCTCTTAGGAGGTACTATATCCTCAGAAAAAGGAGCAATGTTACTCAAAAGCTAATATTATTTACTTATTAAAATATAAAAAGCATATAAAATACTTAGAGGGCAAATTATTTTCAAATAGCCCATACGAGCAGAATAAGCAAACTGAATATTTTTTAGAGGGGAAAGTTATCTAAGAGAAAGATAAGACTTAAGTCTTAGATTACTTTAAATTATTATTCACTAGATAAGTTTATTTATTTTTATTATAAAATTTATATTAATAAATATAGGAAATGAGTATCTTAAATATATAATACATGTTCTACAAGATTGAATTAAGAGATGCATTTTAAAAAAATGAAGAGATAAAGATAGATATATTGATTCTGTTATATCTTATAAAGAATTACAATTATATTTAACAGCATTCCCCATAACTGCGTTACAGGGTTTTTATTTGTGAATATGTAAATGTTTATAATATTTTAATAATTATTTTTAAAAAATATTTCAATAATTCTGTCATATTAGCTAAGGTTTTTATGGGGTATGGTGTATAACTGGATTTCGCTCTTTTTAAAAAAAAGGGATTAAGAAATTAGGTTTAACTAAACAAATTTAATATCAATTATGTAGCCCAATTCTTAATTTTTAAGATAAATTTTAAATCAAATTTCTAATTATAATAATTTTTGAGCTAAAGGAGATTATGTGAAAGTTGTTTTTCTGGCCAGTCAAAACATGGTATGTATTAACTGGCTATATATTATGTATTAACTGACCATAATATATTAAAAATTTAATCATAAATATTAAATACCTGTAAAATGACCTATGTTAATATTCCTTCAATTTTTAGGTATTTAAAAACCGAATTATACAATTATTTAATTTTAAACATGGCTAATATTGTGTTAAAAAATATATGGTATTTATTTATATTAAATAAAATATCAAATTAAAAAAAAATTTAACCATAAAGTTTTGAACGAACGTGAACGTGTTCCTTTTTATGAGTGAACGTTGAACGTGAACACGTTAGATCTTTGTCGATGAAAGTTACGCGAACGGTTTGAATTTTTAGAAACTTTTACAACACTAGTAAATTTTAATATATATTTACATAAATAAAAAACAAATAAATCATTGTTATTGGTACATTGAGCATGAACCTATTCTTCGCAATGCATTCATTTAATCCATTCTTCCACTTTCTTGCCCTTTGAATATTATTTCTTGCATATTATGCATAGCCACTCATCATTATTTTTTTATTGTTTTTTTAATTATTTTTATGTTTATATGGTGATGTTAAAATTTATGATTTCTTTTTTTCTAATGTCTATATGATCATCTTATTGGGTGTAACAGAATAGATTCTGGATTAAAGTTACTATTAGAATGGTTAGATGATGTTATGTTATTTAATTCATTATTAGAAGTAGTAAAAATAGGACTAGAAATGTAATTTATCGTTTCATTTTCAGTATCACTATAAGCTACATTTTCAAATGCCATGGGAATAATGGATGATTCCAGGGTTGTGCCTTTGACCGGACAAATACATTTCGGTCAATTGACCTATATTTGACAGGTCAAATTCAAATATATGTTTTTTTTAGTCAATTTTAACTTTATTTTGAATATAATAGAAAATGAATCTATAATATTAATTTTTTAAATTCATTGTCATTCAATAACTAACGTTTAGCTCTCTGTATCAGGGTCTTTTTCTGATTCATATTCAATATAATCATTTTCTTTAATATTTTTTAATCAATTTTCCTGATGTCGAGATCTTTAATCGATTTTTATTTTCTAAGAATATTAACCTAAATCGACCTATTTCTTTTTAAAGAAGAAGATAACAAGGAATTGTTAGTCTCTTAAGTGGGCAAAGTTTAATTCATACTTCAGGTGAGAATTGATTGTTTCTTATGGAAATTACTGCTTTCCACCTAATTTGCTATTAAACATCCCTTTTTTGTTTCTGAAATTAATTATATCACTTAAAATATTTTGGTCATCACACCTTGTAAAATTGCTAATTCTTAAATTATATCACATACTTTAATGAATTCACTATTGGTGAGTTGCTCCTCTTGATACTGGGGACCCAAAAAAATAAGTAACATTGTGATCACATATATTAATATCGTTTTTCCCTTTTTTAAACATATTTTTAATTTTTTTTAAAGTATTTGACCCTACCTCCGGTCTATTGACTGAATTTGACTGGTCAATTGACCGATTTGCCAACCCTGGATGATCCTGACCATCTTTAGATATTAAGTAACTACTATAGAGAAAATCTCAGGATTGTAGGAATATATACCACAAGCTAAAAATCTATTCTGAATATTTTTGAGATTATAGCTTTGATCAGTTCCATTTTAATGATTGTAGATATGTCATATATGGTAAATGATTTGCCTACATGGTTTCGCATCCAATTGTCAATGCTGTTATTATAAAATCTTTTAAATGGCACAAAGACTGATTTATCAAATAGTAGTTTGTGAAAGCAGTTGGTGGTAATTATCCATTTGCCTCTAAAATCTATTGATCTTAATAAGCAATGCAAACAATGATTACCTAATATTAATAAATTTTTATTTGACATTAAAATGGAGTTGCCTAAAGCTACAACCACAAAAAATATTTAAAATGGATTTTTAGCTTGTGGGATATATATACAATCCTAATATATTCTCTGAAGATAGTTACTTAGTATCTAATGATAATAATTTGTCAAAATCATCCATTATTCCTATGGCATTTGAAAAGTAAAGTAGCTTATAGTGATACTCAAAATGAATCAATAAATTACATTTCTAGTTCTATTCATATACTTCTAATATTGAATTATATAACATAACTTCATCTAACCATTCTAATAATAATTTTAATCCAGAATATATTCTGCCACACCCAATTTTATATAGTAATAGGATGGTCCGAAATTTTAACATTGTCACCATATAAACATAAATTAAAAAGTAGTAAAAAAAACAATAAAGAGAAAAATAATGAAGAGTGGCTATACTTATATGCAAGAAGGAATATTCAAAAAGCAAGAAAGGGGATGGATGGATTAAATGCATGCAATGTGAAGATTGGGCTCATGCTCAATGTACCAATAACAATGATTTATTTGTTTGTTAATAAAAATATTATAATTTTCTCATTTATAAATTAATAAAATGACTTTCATTGTTTTTATATATAAATAATTGTCTAATAATATATTAAACATCTTTAAATTGATGAATAATTAAATTATTGGAATATTCATTCAAACATGTAGATAATTAAGATAAAAATTTATAAAATTATTAAATAGATAAATGGTTAATTTTATATTGAAATAAGAATGTTTAACCAAACGATAATTAAGATATTAATTTATAAAATATCATTAAATAGATGATGATAAATTGAGATGTTAATATTAATTAAATTAGTGTATAGGTTTTTTAAATACTTAAAAAATGAAGAAATAATATATTATGGCTAGTAAACACATAGTATATGACCAGCTAATACATACACATACCATGTTTTGACTGGCCAGAATAACAACTTTCACATAACCTCATCTAGCTCAAAAATTATTATAGGTATAGCTATATTCAAATTTTATTTTAAAGATTAAGATTAAGTGTATAGGTTTTTTAAACACTTAAAAAATGAAGAATTAATATATTATGGCTAGTAAACACATAGTATATGACCAGCTAATACATACTCATACCATGTTTTGACTGGCCAGAATAAAAACTTTCACATAACCTCATCTAGCTTAAAAATTATTATAGGTATAGCTATATTCAAATTTTATTTTAAAGATTAGATTAAATTTGTTTGGTTAAACCCAATTCTTAATCGCGAAAAGAGCAAAAACATGGCCAGTCATACCACATATCTCCTAACCATATTTTTATAATTCTTTTAAAATATTAATTTAATGTTTTTTGAATGAATTTTTTATATATGAATTTCGGGATTGCTTGGCGAAATTAAGGTTAAGTTTAAAGCGTCACCAAATATGGGATAATTAATATATTTGAATGTAAAAAATTTAATAAAATTTAGTTATTTTCTATTTTTTTTTGTATTGCCCAAGAATAACTTAAAAAAATGATAATGATGGCAATTATACTATTAATAATATCTAATTCTATATATTTTCTGCATAAAAAAAATGATAATTATAATAAATTTATTAAAAAATAATAATTTTTTTATAAAAAATGTGTCTTATGGATAGTTAAAAAAAAGGTGTTAATTCTCCTTGTACGGGAATTCAATATAATTTTAATAGTTTCCAATTTTCAAAATGAGTTAAACTCCCGGTCCCAAAATATTTGAGGTTTAAATGGTTGTCCAAAAATTGGTCCATATTCGTGAAATGTCCAACAAAACAATTTAAAACTTTTGAATCTCGAAGCGAATCTATTATTTTTCTAATTCTATTATAATATCTTAATGAATCTTACATCTAAATTTGGAAAAACTAACGCAATCTAATTTACGATTAATACCGTTATTATAAGCAACACCAAGTAGATGCCATACATCCTGGTTACGGGTTCTTGTCTGAAAACTGGGAATTCGCCGATGCGGTAAACAAAGCTGGCATGGAATTCATAGGGCCCTCTCCAGAAGTAGTAAAGACCATGGGCGACAAAATTGCTGCTAGACAAATAGCTTTGAAAACAGGTTATATTATGTCAAATAATTCGTATATATTTACATGAAGGCAAGGAGAGCCCAAAAATTTTAAAGTTTAAAACTAATAGTCTTTTAACAAGTCTTTTCAATTCTAATTAAAAAAATTTCTTTGCTTCTAATTGAATATTTATTTAAAATCGTGAAAACAACGTAAGACATTTACATAATTCTTGCCTAAATTCTTCCCTTTTTTTAAGGGTTTCTAGATATTAAAAATAATTATATACATTTATATATTACATAACTATTTCCAGATGTCAAGGTCATTCCCGGTAGCGAAGGAGAAGTTCATTCTTTCGAAGACGTTGAAAAATTTATTACTCAACATGGTTTGCCTATTATTTTCAAGGCGGCTTACGGTGGCGGAGGCAGAGGAATGAGGGTTGTTAGAAATAAAAAGGTTTTTTTTAAAAATAAACGTGTGATTTATATATTATAATATGATACGCATATCCGGTTATCATCTGTTTAATTTTTTAATCATTTTTCATTTATTTTAATTGGTTTCAAATCAAAAAGTTTTTACTAGATTACCCTTTTAGCAAACTTCTTTAGTTATTTTAAAAAGTAACTTAAAAATTTAATTCAGCTGAAATTTTTTAAAAAAATTAACTTTTATATTTAGGAAATTAAGGATATGTTCGATAGAGCTCAACACGAGGCGAAGGCAGCTTTTGGAAATGGCGCTTTATTCATTGAAAAGTACATTGAAAAGCCTAGGCATATCGAAGTTCAAATTTTAGGTTAAAAACTTGATAATTATCTCATTATTTCACCTAGATCAATATAATTTTACCCCTAGCTAAATTTCATCTATATGCAATAATCTAAAAACGAATTTCATTTTATAAAACAAATGATTTAGTAAAATTATTTTCACTTTTGACATGTGCCTGCTAGTTTGAGTACTAATATGCTAAAATGGCAGTCAGAATTTCATATTCGTTTAAAAAACACACGAGACGATACCATCATTTTTTTTATCAGAGTAATAAACTTAATAACGGTATATTATATAGATAGATCTGTGGGTCCGAAGCCTCAATTGAAGGCGGCGGTTTTTTAATTTTTTTTGGAGGCGCGTCGATTTCGCCGCCGCATAATAAATTGACGACTACCGCGGCGGGCAATGGATTAATTTATAATTCATATTACATTTTTTTATAATTTATTTGAGTGCTCTTAGTTCTAAAACATTGTTATATTTGAATATCTTATATATTTTTTATATATTTTAAAGGTTACGTTATTTGTATATTATATTATTATAACTTTCCTACATTTAATATTATATTATGGAGGTCAATATAATTGCATAATATTAGAAGTTAAATTACATAATTATAAAATACTATATATATATAGGAAACAATTTAAAATAAAGTTACCGATTGTTTTGACTATAAAAAATGGCGACGAGTTAAAATAAAAAAAAGTCGCTCGGTTTTCGGTCAAGTTTAATAATATATAGAATTATAAAAAAAAAATTTCTGTTTATAAAAAAAATAAATAATATATTTTAGAAATTATGGATAAAATAGTTTTACAGGATTATAAAAAAGAAGATTGTTCCATCGATGACTACATTGATTATATAAAATACATACTGAATGTGAAAAATATTCCTCAAACTGCGCCACTTTAAAAAAAATTATTTATAGCTTACGAAGGAATAAATATTACAACTAATATAAAAAAATTACTCTATCAAGGAAAATGGAGGATGTAGGATGGACAGACATATATAAAATTGCAAAACAGTTTTATAAAGATGAAAAAACTGTTTTGACATCTAGAATTGATTTCATTAGATTAATTCGCGGCCTACTGAATCCGTAATGAGCTATTTAAAAATATAAAGGAGCTAGCCCGAAGATGCGAATTTGGTAGAACTAAGAATTCGCGATCAATTAATCGCCGGACTAAAGATGTCACAAAACTAGATAAAGAACTACGTTTAAGATACCAGATACTAAAGACGAAGACCAACCGTTAAGCTTAACCAAAGTTGTAGAAATGGCTTTAGCGATGGAAGGGGCTGACTAATAAATAATACTACTAAAATGGTTTATAAAATCAAAGAGACGAATAAACATAATGATAATAAACGATTAAATCAAAATGATAAAAATAATCGGCAGTATAATAATAATGATAATCGACACTATCAAAATGATAATAAAACATACGTAAAAAGAGAACCAGTGCAAGGTCATAATAACTACCACACAAATAATAATAATATTACAAGAAAACTGTGTTATTTTTGTAATCGTTTTCATACTATTAGAAATTGTCCAGCATACGGAAAAACGTATAACAAATGTAAGAAATCAAACCACTTTGCCGTGTGTTGTAAAACTAGAGGAAAAATTTACGTTACAAATTACAATAATAACGACGACGATTCAGATTTCTCAATAAGAAAAATCTACAAATATGGACAGCACCCAACATTTACGGTAATCACGAAATTAAAATGGAATATGATAGAGGTTCAGCAGTAACCATCATTAATGCAACAATATAGAATAAAATTGGGAGGCCAAAACTTAGAATGGTTAGAGCTCCAACTACATATGGAAACAATACAATAAAAATTATCGGCGAAGCTTATGTAAAAGTGAAATTAGATGATAAAATAAAATGGCTTCCGTTATTAGTTACAAAAACAAATCATGCAGCACTATTTGGATTTCCATGGACTATAGAATTTGATTTATCGTTACCAACAAATGTAAAAACAATATGATCAACAATAGATATAAATATAATGATAATGGTAAAGTGAATATTGACAAACTATATAAAGAATTAGCTACGGTGTTTGATAATAAATTAGGATTTATAAAAAATGTCAAACCAGTAAAACTACAATTGGAAGAAAATACAAAACCAATTGCACTGCCAGCTAGTAGAGTACCGTTGCCTTTAAAATTAGAAATTGAAAATGAGCTGAAACGTTTGGAAGAAAATAATATAATAAAGAAAATAGAACCATCAACAACAAGAGTAACCTGGAGTACTCCAATGGTAGTGGTACCTAAAACTTCAGGTAAACTACGATTATGTGGAGATTTCAAAGTAACATATAAATTTCTACTAAAATACTATCACATTCTACCAACGTTTGAAGAATTAATCGCAAAAATCGCTAATGGAAATAAATAAATATACATTAGATCTCAAAATCTACAAATGAGCATTGACGATGAATCACAAGAATTATTAACAGTGGTAACACCAAATGGATACTACCGCTATTTACGATTATCTTTTGGTATAGCTACAGCACCTATAATATTTCAACGATATATGGACGATTTACTGGCTGATTGTAAAGATACAGCAGTTTATTTAGATGATGTTATAATCACAGGGAAAAATGATACTGAACATACATTTGTTAAATTATTTCCTGTTTCACTCCTATTAAATTTATGTATTTTATCACTTTCAGAAAAAGAGTAAGGAACTGCATTTTTACTCAGATCAAAGACACCTTTAGTAATATTCTATTGATTTTTATTAAAACAAATTGAAATATAAATTTGGAATGCAAGCAAAATATAAAGTAAAAAATATAAACAATTAAAAATCAAATCAGATTTAGTAATATTATAATTGTTATGAATAAATAGTATTTTATCAAGATTCATAGAAGTCCTTTTTGCATTGAGTATTAATCCAGTGATGGAAAACATTATTTCGCTCGGTGTACTGGTTGCAGGTATACAAAGAATCTTTCTAGCTAAATTAGCAATCCTAGGAAGTTCCGCTTTTTCCCCAAAATGTTAGTGGATCCTCTTTTGATATACTTTGATGGCTGAGCAAAAGATGCCATTCTTCTAATGTTGCTATAATCGTTGCTTGTATGGGAATGTTTAGAGCTATTTTAGCTATATATGAACTGGATATTTGCCCATTATCTTCAACTTGAATCACATTCTGTGCTTTCTATTATGTTAAAAGTTCTAAGTGTCTAATTAAAATTTGAGATGAAGTTGAATTCGAATTTAAAAATTCTGAAACAATTTTAAGATTTTGAAATCTCGTATCATCTAGTGTCACTAATATCTAATTTTTAAAATATTTTATTAATATTAGAAACCTATGATCAAGTTTTTTTTGCATATTTTCTTTTAAGCAAATGAATCTGACTGAGCTATCAGATTTATTGATTTGTACATCTGTTTCTATTTCACTGCGAAATAATAACTCTAAATTTATTGTTGATCCCTTTAAGAAAGAAATTCCACCGACTCTCTGAATTGATTTAATAATGTTTGAAATTCGTCGATTATATCACATTCGTTATTAAAAAGTTTTGAGGATTGTTTTTCAATTTTATCTATAACCTTATTTATAGGAATCTTGTTAACACTACGGATACTTTCTAGATAATTAATATGCGGTGCCATTGGTAGGGCAATTTAATTTTAAAGTTTTCGTATTAATTAGATCTGTTGGTGCAATGCAATTTATATAATCAGCCTCACCAGAAATATCAAACATCAAGTATAAATATAATTAAAGATCATTCTAATTATACACCCACGCCGTCGCCATGAATAAAATCAGCGGCGGGCTTGGCGCGTCGCTCATGTCAATTTGCGGCTTTTCCGGTGTTAATAAAATTACCGGCGTAAGTCGGCGGCATGCAGGTTTTATCTTAAATAAGGTTAACGAATTTTTTTTTTAATAATCAATTTACAAATAGGGGATAAATACGGAGATGTGATCCATTTATACGACAGAGATTGTTCAGTGCAGAGGAGACACCAAAAAATAGTTGAAATAGCTCCTGCGCCTAACCTTGATCCCAAACTGCGTGAAAAATTGTTATCCGATGCCCTTAAATTGGTCCGTTACGCAGGTTATAAATAAATTATGCGCATCACAATATTTGTTCTCAAATAATAGACAAATCTCTGACTTGCATGACCAATCATCGAAACGATTCTTAATATATAAGTTCATTGTAATTTGGGTACTAGTTTATTATTGACACTGACAGCGTCAATTTAATTTTGGAAATTTTAGTTAATTTTACCTGAACAACGACTGTGACTGATTGGGGGGGGGGTATTTAGAGTCCAGAACCCAGGAATTCTTGCACCCCCCCCCCCCCCCCCACCCCACCCCACCCCACCTCCAACCCCACCGAATTTGTGAAAAGATTTTAATTAAAAGTAAATTATAAACTAAAAAAATGATAGAATATTACCTAAATTAGTCATTTGCAGCAATATATTTAATTCCTATTCCATGGTCATAAACTACTCATATACAGTTTTATTAAAATTAACCCCACTCTGTTCTTCTATTTGAAAATTATTTTTGGTTACTAGGCGAATATCATATTTTGTTTATTAGTATAATAAACGCGGCTTATGTATTATAATAACAGGTTAAAATATTTTTCTAAATCAAACATCTAATCTAAAGGCTACTACAATGCTGGAACAGTTGAATTTTTACTCGATTCTAAAGGCGTACATTACTTTATCGAAGTAAATGCAAGATTGCAAGTTGAACATCCGGTGACTGAAGAAATTACGGGGTAATTATTTTGACAATTCATTCATAACAAAATGGATGAAATAAAAATCAAATTTTTAATAAAAAAATTTAATGGTATAAGGTTTAAAGTTAGAGATCGTCCTAAATCGCATCTTTAACGCTGCTTGAATTTCAAACTATTTTTTGTCCTCTTTGTCTAGAACAATTGATTTCCATAGTTTGGTAATTGGTATAAATAAAAGTAAATTACAGAATTTATTAATGTACAATAATATTTAGCATGATTTGATGCATATATTTAGTGTTGTTAATTGACTAAATTTAGTCGATTAACAGACGACTAACTATAGTTGTCGAAAAATTCAACTAAAAACTTTAGCCGTTAAATTAATTGACTAAGACTAAAATTATTAATTTTTATTATATTTATTTTATTAAAGTTTTTGAAAACATAAAAATCTACCTAATTTTCTATTAATATAATAATAATTTCAAAGAATATACAAAATATTAGATTTGGTGCCAGCCAGGCGCTAAAATTCAAAATTGAGATAAATGAAAAGAAATATAAAAATTATAAGCAAATCCACGAAATTAATCGACTAATTTAGTCGCTAAAGTTTGTCGTAGTCTGAAAAAGTCGACTAATTAACAACACTACATATATTTAAATATTTAATAAGCTATTTAGAAATGATAAATAATCCTAATCATTAATAAATTTCAACTTACATGAGTTATTTTGATATGATATTTTTATACTTACTAATTAAAATTATGTCAAAATTTAAGAATAACTCATTGTTATAAACAGTTATTTCTGATTTTTAAAAAATATATTTTAGCGCAGCGTTTATAAATAGGCTTCAATTTGTTGCCTGTCTTTTAACATTGTTTTTTGAGCTTAAATGTTGCGTTATAGAAGTGATCCACGACTACCTTATTATACATGAATAATTAATAACAAATAAGCGCAAGTAAACAAATCAAGATTCATAAGTAATGGTGTTTGGAATATTTTTATAATAAATTTCGCCTAATTTATATATTAATAATTAGTGTCTAAATCAGATCTGTAAAGTTTAAATTTAATTTTTAGGAACACGGCAAAATATTTTTTTTAGATACCCCCTTCAAATAGTTTTGTTTACAAAATTCACATTGATCTCAATATTGACCAAATGTTAAAAATCCGGGCTGGTTTGGAAATTGATTTAAAAAAAATAGCACGGGGGACACTTTACAGGACTTTAATTAAATGTTTTCCAATGCGCTGTAATCGTTATTTTCGATTTATAGGTTTCCTAGGGAGTTAAGAGTAAAAAATTTTATGATACTTTTTTGTTTAAAAATTTTCTCTCTTCTGAGTCCTTTTCTCATTTAAAAAAATTCTTTAGTGGGGGAATCCATTAATTCCAAAAATAAAATTTTACTTTCTTTTATATAATTTCATATCAGCAGCTAATAAAAAAAAGTGTCTTTACAGGCTGTTAGCGCCTTCAAATCCATTTTTATCTTCTTCCCTTCTCTTTACTACTTGTCTAATGGCTAAAAATCGACTCCACAGTTATAAATGCGTGCGCGCCCATGGGAAATAATCTGCTGAGCATTGAGGCAAAAGCTAATTTATTTTTAAATTTAAATAGCCTAATATATAAATTACATTTTATATTAATTATATAATTAATTGTTATTTTATTTATTGAATTTTTTTTTATTCCCATACTAGTTAGTCACGTATCGCGGTTTTATAATTATCGTTAAATTCGCAAGTGTTCCCTTTTTTAAATTTATTTATATAATCTATTATCGATTCACCTTTCTCCTGTGATAATTTATAAAAATATAATTGCTCTAAAATATGTTCTGCTAAACTTTTTGATAAAGATAACGAAAACAATCAGGAATAAAATTCTATTCCAATATCCCGAGAGTAAGAAAGCTTTTTTTTACCTTCCATTTTATTAATTCTAAATATTAACTCATCTTGTATATCTTCCAGGTAAAATAATTTGACTGCACCCTAATCTATTTTATATTTCAAATGAGGCTGAGGTGATGTTTTAAACTCGGTGTTCTTAATCATCAAAAATAGAGCGATTTCTCAACTACGGAAACCTGCAGGGGCCTAAAACATTATAAAATACAAGCCAGATCCTTGGCCTGGGAAAATATTAATGTTGTATTTCCTTCTTATTCATCCTTTTTTTGTCTTGATTGAATATCACAGTTATAGAATGAATTTAAAAATTAAGAAAAGCTTTTTTTTTTAAATGGGGAGGTGGGAAATATTTCATTTTTTTATAACATTTTTCTAAATTCTTTGCCACCAGGCCTACTGGCAGGTTCGAGTCGAAATAGGTTTTGCCGGTCTCCACCCAACTATAGTATCTTTCTGTAATTACCAATTTAAATTAGGGTAGATTTGGTGGCATCTCAAATAAAAGTGGCGGAGGGCAAAACATTATCCGAAATGAATTTATCTCAAGATAGCGTAAGAATGGATGGAACGGCTATACAGTGCAGGGTAACGACGGAGGACCCGGCCAAGAACTTTCAACCCGATTCTGGGCGATTGGAAGTTAGTTTTAATTTCTTCAATACATTATTATTTTCCACGGTAACTCTTTATAATTAATTCTCCAGAACCAATTTTTTTTAGTCATAAGATATTAACAATTTTATGAGGGTAGTTTTTATGTTAGGTTATATTTAAGTTTATCGAAATGTTAATGTAATTTGATTGTTCAAAAAATATACCTTATCATTCAGTATTGGAGTCTATTAATAACGAAAACAAAACAAAAATTTACTATTCGTTTTCATCATAGGCATAAGGATTACGATGGGAGTGCATTTTTTCCTATAAATTTTATTGGATATCTTTAGGTCCACTTATTGCAGACCTTTGATTATGTAAATATTTTTTTCTGAAAACTTTGAAGGTAAGTTTAAAAAAGTTAACTTCAAAAAAGGACGTATAAAATCTAGTAAAAAAATAACAGAACAGTTCTTTTTGAATTTATTTTAATACATCTAGTATTCACTAGTACTATACGCGTTCGATTGACAAAAATCGAACGCGTTCATATTCAATGTTGATTAGAAGAAAGAACCCGTTCACGCTCATGAACGAGTTCACTTTCGTTCAAAATTTTATGAATGAATTTTTTTTAAAAATTTCATTTAATATTTAATTTAATATAAAGAAATGCCATATATATTTTAACCGATATATTAGCCATATTTAAAAAGAATAGTTTTAAGTGAATTAAAAAATATTTATATTTATAGAAAAAAAAATTTCCTATTAATTTTTAATATATATAAACTTTTATATATCATAAAATTTAATTTTATATAACATGTAAATTTATAATACTTTAAATTGTGTTCAACTATTAAATATAAAATCCTTGATAAAAACTTAAAAATAATAGCGAAATTTCAAATAATCACACTAAAAATAAATAAATTATGTATATAAAATATAATATTTAGTGATTTTTTTACTTTATATATCTATTATTATAGTAACCAACCATAATAATTTAATAAGCTTATGAAATACAATAATCTTAAATAAATTTACCAGGATACTATACTTATAGTTATATTATATAAAATAATATAATATTACAATCAAATATCTCTTTAAATTAGAACTTGAAGATTGCTTTCAATGAGATCATTGGTCTTAGCGATCTCACCGATTCGCTTTTATTAATTTCACAACAACTTCTCCAAAAACACTAAAGGTATTGGTTACTAATGAGATAAAAATAATTTTGATGACTTGTATTTATTAGTTTTTTGCTATTTCATCAGTTGATGTATGCCTATTGGCTGCAAGAAAATGAATGCAGGTATAATCCCATGCAGAAAGCAAGTCATTGGACTATTTCATCTGTTCTTTTATTATTTTCGGGCAAAAAGATATGCAGGTTTATAACTTGAAAGAATCGCCGACTTTTTTAAGGATTTATTTATTATATTATTGATAATTTTTTGCCGACGGTTGTGTCCTTTAGAATATTTGTAGTTCAAAGGATAATGTCATATCAAAGTTCGTTGAGCGGTTTATACATTTTTAATTATTTAATTAGATCCTAGACGCAAATAAATTGCGATACAAAGTTCCTCGCTTGTTAGTAGAAGTAAAATTAGGTATTATATATAATACTATTTCAGACACATAATTATAAAAAAATTTATTATGGTATGGGATGACTATCTTCTCACTATAATTTAAATCTGGTCTTACCCCAACTCCCTCTTTTGGATTTTAGGTTAATATGATTTATGGGAGTAATATAACCTACATAAAAATGATAATTGTACTATTTCAGTTAATGAAATAAATTGCTTAATTTTTGTTGATACGATTAATATGATTAGACATAATTTTAAAGAGTCTGAACTTTGATAAATTGTATCATTTTGATATGACTGCTAATTTCATCTAATCTGTTCAAGTTTAATTTTTGAGCCAATGATCCTTATTGTCATAAATGAGTGACATATTTGATAATTTTGAAAATATTTATTGCGTGAATATTAATAAATAAATTGTGCCGGTTCATTATTAAACCTTATTTTAATATTGTGTTTTATTTTATTTTTAGATATAGAAATTAAGTTTTGTTGAATCATGATGAAATTGTATTTTATGCGCTTCCCTATAAAAGGGAAGCGAAATATTGTAAATATGATTTTAACTATTTTTTTCTTGTTTTGAATTAATTTTTTTTTATAACTATTATCATTAAATAATTCATTTTTTTTTTGGATTTATTTTATAAAATTATTCATTTTTTTTGTGTGGGAAATTCAATAAAATTATTATACTCGGAGTTTTGCTTTCTACCCGGACTTGTACGGCACAACGTAATAGTTGAAAAAAATAACACCGGTCTCTCCAGCTCTTCTATACGATGCAATAACGCTCCTCCTACTCCCCTTTGAGACGCATCTACCGCCAATATCACCTCCAGTTCATTATTAAAACACACTAAGACGGGCTCTTTTCCAATCCGGCACTTCAACTCCTCAAACGCCTCCTCCTGTTCATCTCCCCAATCAAATCTCTCTCCCTTTTTCAACAACTGGTACAAAGGTGCCGCTATTCCCGCAAAATTCTCTACAAACCTGTGATAATAGTTAACCATTCCCAGAAACGACTGTATTTCCGACTTGCATTTCGGCCTCAACATGTTTGCAATACCCACCATATTCTTATCCAACGGTCTAACCTCTACTCCATTAATCCGATGACCCAAATAAACAACCTCCATTACTCCAAACACACTTTTCTCTCTACTAGCACGCAATCCCTTCTCCTTGATTCTCCAAAATACCTCCTCCAGCCTCCTATTATGCTCCTCCTGCGTAATACCTGTTATCAAGACATCGTCCATATAGTAAAACACTCCCTCCAAACCCTGAAAAACGGCCGCCATTGTCCTCTGAAATATGGGTGCCGAAACACTCAACCCAAACGGCAATCTCTTAAACGCAAATAGTCCCTTGGGCGTAGTTATGGTCAGCAACTTCTGCATCTCCTTCCTTACCTTCAACTGCAAATACGCATTAGAAAAATCCACCTTCGAAAAATATAAACTCCCCTTCACATTCGCCAATATCTCCTCTATCCTCGGTAACGGATATTTTACTTCCATTACCCACGGATTCAATGTTACTCGGAAATCTGCACATAATCTCAACTTCCCATTAGCCTTTTTCACCGGTACTAAAGGTGTCGCCCACTCGCTATATTCGACCGGACATACAATATCTTCCTTTACCCATCTATCCAACTCTTGCTCTACCTCCCGCCTCCATTCAAAAGGTACACGACGTACAGCACAATACTTCGGCACACTTCCCTCCTTCATCCCAATCTCCACCTCATAACCCTTCAAACAACCCAACTCTTCCTCAAATATTTCTCCATACCTCTCCACTAACTTCTCCACCTCCTTTTGGACCTCCTTTATTCCCTCTCCACACCCCCACAAATTTTTCGCAACTCCTTGTTCCACAAAATTCTCTCCCTTCTTCTCACTAACCAGCGGCCTCAATACTCCATATCTACTGTCTTGGACATTTCCTATTTCTCCATCTACATAAATCGGACCTCTCCCCAACATATATTCTCTCGCATTCTCTTCGCTTTCCCCCCAAAACATGGATCTTCCATCGTCTACTTCAATATTATCTCGGCCCTCCATCCATTCCAAATTTCCTCTCGACATTCTCTTCTCTTCATTCACTCGGACCATATTTATCAAGTCTTCCCGAATATCTTCTTCGATCGCCACAAATACTCCCCATCGGGCAAATACTCCCCAGAATCCATACCTCGGTCCTACATTTGTAATCCAATCCCATCCCATCACCGGCTCAACGTCTCGGTTATTTATCCATAAGTCCAACATTTTACATCCTTCTCTTCCTACCTCCCCAATATGCACTCTTCCCATCATCTCCATCTCCGATCCATCAAACTGCCTCACTTGCATAACGTCTCTAATTATATTACTACCCGGCCAAAGTCTTCTAAAATCCTCATATCCCATCACCGAAATAGCTGCTCCGGTATCAAATAACATAGATACCATCTTCCCGTTGATATCGAACCATACCCTTGGACTCGGCAGATACATTAACTCCCTTTGAACCTCCTGCTGCAACATTTTAACTCTCAACTCTTTCTTGCCTCCTCCTAACGCCACGGTCATTATTTTACTCTCCTTCCCATCATATAGTCAATCTTTATTACAATCTCTGGCCCAATGTCCCCTTTCTCGGCACTTGAAACACGTCATCTCCTCTCCAATATCCTTTCCTCCTTTTCCAGCTATCTCCGTCATACTCCTCATATTCACGACCCCCGACGACTCTCCTCTCTGTGGAAAACCTGCCCTTGTTTCCACCTTTCCCACTCGGCAATCCTTTAACACATGTCCAAATCTTCCACAACCCGTGCAACGTATTCTCTCTGCTCTGCCCGGACAATATGTCGAAATATGTCCCATCTCCCCACACGCAAAACATTTGACATCTCTACAATTCACCGCAATATGACCCATCTCCCCACATTTATAACATCTACCATTCCGACCTCTCTGTCCCCCACTGTTGAACGGCCTTGGCATACCTTGACGTCCACGGTATACATCCAAATGTCTGTCATCTATCCTCTCGTTCTTTAACCGGTCAATTTCTTCATTATTGACCCAACCCTTCATTATTTCTTGAACCGGTAACCACGTCACTCTCCCCAACCTATCATCCTCTCCATTATGCCCCTCTACCAACAATGATTGCCCACGAATCCTAATACTCCTTTCTCTTCGCATTCTCCTTCCAAAATATAAACTACACAACCATATCATCAACACTACCACCGCTCCCAATACATTATATTGCAACTCCACATATTTTGTAATTTTAAAACCCTTCATTAAAATATTTACGTATTTAAATTTTTCCTAATTTATTTCTCTAACAACACTAAATTTTATAAAATATTCACAAAAAATTAATAATTAATTTCACCAAAAATATCTTAACTACTTATAATGTCAGACAATAAGATAAAATCAATAAGGTAAAAACTCCAATAATACACATATACATTTATCAATTTCAAAAAAAAATCAATACCTTCCGCTAATCTTTAATCTCTTCCGTGTATTGACGTCTTTTGAAAAAAAAAAATCGGCAGCACTTTCGTGTAACTTGCTTTCTAATAAACTTTTTTGGAATTTCTTCTAATAGATTTATATAGACAAAAATTTGGGCAGCACTTCCGTGTACTCTACCTTTTTAGTAAATTTTCGATTTTCGACTAATAGATTTATATAACCAAAAATTTGGGCAGCACTTCCGTGTACTCTACTTTTTTAGTAAATTTTCGATTTTCGTCTAATAGATTTATATAGGCAAAAATTTGGGCAGCACTTCCGTGTACTTTACGTCTTTTGAAAATTTTCACTCGACGGTCACCTCTTTTGACGGTACTTGTTCTTGACGGTCTTTCAACCCAAACGGTCCCTTATTACACACGGTACTTGTCCTTGACGGTACTTGTTCTTGACGGTACTTGCTCTTGACGGTACTTGCTCTTGACGGTACTTGCTCTTGACGGTTCTTTAAATTGACGGTGCTCTTGACGGTTCTTCAAATTGACGGTCTTATCCACCACAACGCTCCACAAAAATATTTTCCCAAAAATAATTTATAAAAATAATTGTTTTTACTTTAATTTTTTGGTCACGGCACCAACTATTACGTTGTGCCGTACAAGTCCGGGTAGAAAGCAAAACTCCGAGTATAATAATTTTATTGAATTTCCCACACAAAAAAAATGAATAATTTTATAAAATAAATCCAAAAAAAAAATGAATTATTTAATGATAATAGTTATAAAAAAAAATTAATTCAAAACAAGAAAAAAATAGTTAAAATCATATTTACAATATTTCGCTTCCCTTATAGGGAAGCGCATAAAATACAATTTCATCATGATTCAACAAAACTTAATTTCTATATCTAAAAATAAAATAAAACACAATATTAAAATAAGGTTTAATAATGAACCGGCACAATTTATTTATTAATATTCACGCAATAAATATTTTCAAAATTATCAAATATGTCACTCATTTATGACACTTATCATTTGATCTACTTTACTAGTTGGATATCATTTTGCTAAAAAACTTTGATAATTCATTTTTTTCATTATATTTTAATCGAATTTTAATAATTACGTTAAATTTTTCTATAATTAATGAGAAATTACGAATCTTTTATAATTTTGAATTTTAATTCATTGATATCTTTTTATAGTTTTAATTCACTTTTCGATAATTTTATTTGGATGATTTTAATCATGTTTAATAATTTTTATAACAATGTCGGTAGATTTACTTTAGTATAACCTTGATGGAAACAGGTTATTTATAGTTTTGGTGGAGAAATTGGGAGATATAAACTTAACACTTTGATAAATTAGTACAACATTGATAGATGGATTTAATAACCACTTACATTACTTTGATAACACCTTTAAACAATGGAATTAATAAGACTTTAATTTTTTTAGATATATTTATTCGCGTTAATATAAAACAACTCTGCCTTAAACTATTAGTCTAATAATTATATTATTTCTACTTTTGTCTGGTATAATTGCATTTTTATAATTATATAGGTTAAATGAATAAATAGAATATATAAACGTCTTATTTAAGTGAATAAATAAAATATATAAAAGACTATTTTAAATAAACCTATAAGGGTTTCCAAAATCTGTTTTAAAAATTTCAAAACTTTAAGGAAACCTAATGGTAAAGTTTTGAAAATTTTACAAATATTTTTCGGCCATATTTTTGTTTTTCTATTTAAAAAGAGCTTATTCCGTGTTTTTTGAGTCAAATTAAATTTTATGACGTTTTGGGCATAGTCTAAACTAAATTATAGTAATATATACATTTAAATTAAATGAATGTACATAATAAAACTAAAATAATAATAATGAGTAAATATATAAATAATTTTACCTGGAGCATTTGTAGTTTACCTCTACATTGCGGTTTAATCAAACCGTATTTATCTCTTTAAAATCTTTAATATAATAATGATAAATCATCTCCGATATATTTTATATTTAAAAGGTTTTTAGGAGCGGGGAAGGTATGGGCATACGGTTGGACAGCGCTTCGGCATACCAAGGGGCAATTATTACTCCTTACTACGATTCGTTGCTTTGCAAAGTTATCGCTCATTCATCAGAATCGCTTGAAGGGGCTTGCAAAAAAATGGATAGAGCCCTAAGGGAAATTCGAATACGGGGTGTTAAAGTAAGTTCTACTAATTTTTTTTTAAAAATTATATTTTATAGGCTCGGCATGAAAAATATTTTGCACTTGCCCGGTCAGACCTACTTTTATATAGTCCGACCCGCGGCCGTGCAGACCCTTAATATATATCGCATCTAGTTTAATTTTAAATTTTTATTTGTCGCATTGTTTTTTTTACCGCACTATCTCTTTCAAAATCCAACAGACCAACATCCCCTTCTTGCTCAATGTTATTAATCACGAAGCCTTCTTGAAAGGTAAGATTTACACGGATTTTATCGATACTAACCCAGATCTTTTCAAATTCGCCCCATCCCGAAATAGGGCTATGAAGTTGCTCAAGTATTTGGGGCAAGTTATGGTTAATGGGCCTTCTACTCCGCTTGTCACATATTTAAGACCTGATCAGAGGATACACCCCAAGGTTCCTTCCTTTGAGATGGTTAATTTTCATTTTATTAATATAATTAAACGAATTATTGATGTATAGGGGTGTAAAATTTTAGATAATATTATATGAAAAAGGTTGTTAAATTTAATTGAATCACTTGCTAATACTCGCCGGATTTATCGAAACTTTGTTAGCATAAATTTTCTAGGCATGAATAGTACTAGGCCCTGGTTCGCGATTCTTGATTATTATTGATGATACTGTATGTTTTTAGTCTATTTTCTGACTATATTATTTGCGAGTCATATATGGTATATGTATAAACCATAAACTCCGTCTTTGAACCTACAGCTCTATAAATGATTTATGTTATACGTTATAAAATTTCATTTTTCGAAAGTTATCCATTTACCTATTGTTATTAAGGTCATTATTATATAAAAGGATTTTTTATTTGCTGAAAAACTTTTTACTATAATTTAATTAATAGGCGGTTCCTATTTAATCGCTTAGAATTAAACTGAAATTTTCAGAAATCTTTAAAAGCTCCGAATAAATACTTAGGCCGTGTCCTGGTTGGTCGTATATTTCTGTTTATTTTGGTTTGTTTTAAGTTTGCACTTTAAATATATATTATTTATAGACTTTTTTCGGTACAAATAAAACAAAGACGGGTGATCCTTTACGTAAACCTAAATAGCCTCTTTCTTTTAGGCTGTTTAGGGGAAGCTATACTGACGACTGTTTAGAAATAAGACGAATTAGGACACAGTTATAACGTTCAGAAATAATGCTGAATGCTCAAATAAAAACTTTAATGCCTAGAAAAAAATACTAATTGCTCGGGTATAAAACTGAAACACTCATATTACAAAATGAATCGCTCAGAAAATATTTCAAACGCTCAGAAAATCGTCTTCGGTTTTAAGGAAAATTTATAATTCGGAGAAAACATTGAATCTATACACATTGGTCTAATTAAACATCATTCATCTCTTTAATAAATAAGATAAACCAGCACCCAAAGGATGGAGGGACGTTCTCATCGAAAAAGGCCCCGAAGGCTTCGCCAAAGCCTTAAACGCTCATAAAGGTCCTTTGTTAATGGATACGACTTTCCGCGACGCCCACCAGTCATTACTCGCCACTCGAGTTAGAACTTACGATTTGAAGCGGATACTACCGTTCGTTTCTCACAACATGTCGCAACTGTTTAGCCTGGAAAATTGGGGAGGTATTTATATTACATTTATATACATAAATTTAGAGTGATTTTTGTTTACTTACAATAGACTGTCGAAAATAAAGGACTAACCAAAATTATTTTCTACATATTTTATAATGCTTCTCAATTCGAATAGATTTCACAATATCTCAAAAAAATTAAAATATTTTAGCAATTTAAAGGCAAATTTCTTTATTCGCCCATCATTTTTTGAGGGGGCTATTCTAGTTTTAATATTTTTCGTTTAGTGCCCTTTTTGCCAGGTTCATCCGGGAGGCCTATTAATAACCCCATAATTGATCCAATTTATTAAGTATTATAATAAATAAAACAATAAAAATATTATGCATATCCAAGAAATATGTAACGACCAAAATATAATAAAACGGAATCTCTTCATTTTTTTAAAATTTTAATCTTAATTTAAAATGCAGGATAAGGATAATTTTTAAATAGCCAAAAACGGTTAAATCAAGATTTCCAAAAATAATATTACCTAAATCTAGAAAATTTTTCAAAAAATGTCAGAAACACAACATTATATAAAAATCATCATGGGTTACACTGGATTGCTTGAGTCGATAAAATATTAATTGTAAATTCAAAGTGTTATTATTTTTTAAGACGTCATAAATTTATATTTAAATAAAAAATTTTTTTAAAATAAAAACACGTAGTTGATTTATTACAAAAAAATGAAAATTTAAAATTTGTATAATCCGGCTAATTTTAAATGCCATTATCAAGAAATAAAAATTATTACGATAGTTTAGACTTTTTAAAAAGAAAAATCTTAAAATTAAATGGATGAAATATGCAAAAAACAATCAATATAATTAATTTGGTATTGGTAGAATATTTAAATATAAATTTTTAGGAAAAAAATAATGCGAAATTAACGGTACTAGATAGGGTGAGAGATGAAATAATAAACTCTACTATTCGAAAATAAGGTTATACCATCTTCTCTATTTATTATACTTAGTTTTTGTGATTTAGATGCCTCCCTAATTAATTTTTTGTAGGAGCTACGTTTGACGTTTCGATGCGATTTCTACACGAATGCCCATGGCAGAGACTTTCCGACCTCAGAGAATTGTGCCCCAATATTCCTTTCCAGATGCTTTTGAGAGGGGCGAATGCCGTCGGTTATAAAAACTATCCCGATAATCTTGTTTTCAAGTAAAAATCTTTCTTCTTTTCTTTATAATATTTAATTTGAGCACCCCCCCCCCCTCTCCCCCGAAATATTTTTCCTTTTAGCACAGGCTCTTAACCAATTCGGGCAGTAAAATAGTATTAATTTGAAAATCAAGACCAGGTTTAATATTATAGGGACTCTGATCCATTAGACTACTAAATTTAAGCAATCTTTTTCAGGGTTTAACAAAAATCTTCAAATGAGCAATTGACAATTTTTCGCTCAAAATTTTGAGCAAAAATTTTCGAAAATTATTCCCCATCTTTGTAAACGGGAGCAAAATAGAAGATTTTTTTTACAAAAATTTATAATTTCATCATGAAAGTCATAAACTATTCACTTGAAAAAGAATTTTTCCAAATTTGTTTTAGAATTTTAGGACAAAATTCTTGTTTGATTTCTCAAAAAAATCTTTAATTAAAAAAAATCTTTCAAGATCAGAATCTTTGAAGAATTTTTCATTTGAACAAATGTTAAACCCTGATTTTTTTATAACTTAATAAATATATATTATCCCTTTAAAGGCTGATACTTAAACATTAAAATGAGTGGATCCTTAAAATATTTTTTTAAACTGACTATTTAAAAGATTCCCATTCCATATATTTTATAAGATTGGTTCCATTAAGGAGGTTCATGTCCATTTGACGCGACTTCGAGAGTTCCGGTTCATGTAAATTTTTAAAAGAGAAGTTTTGTCGATTTTTACGATGACGACTCCAAACACTGCTTTTTATTAACTATATAAGTTCTATAATATTGTATAATATTATTGAAATGTTTACTAAAGATCTGCGGGCTCGTTCACGAAACAATCCTCATTTTTTACACCCTCAGGTCAGGCCTTTATTAATGGGTACATATGCAGGCCTGTCATTTATTGGTAAACACACAATATAACTAACAATTGTTCGTTAATATAAATAAAGATTTTGTGATATAGCCAAGAAGGAAGGAATGGACATCTTCAGAATTTTTGATGCCCTCAATTATTTACCGAATTTATTAGTCGGCGTTGAAGCTGTAGGAAAAGCCGGTTAGTACAATCATTTTTTTATACATGGTATACAATAAGTAAACCCTGGCTATAGATAACTTCTGGGAACTAATTTTTCGTTCACAATAGAATATTCACTGTCCGGTCGGTTTTCTTTTTAACATTATACTAAATGGTGCCGGGACAAAGCTTTGGTTCAATAAATATAGGTTTTACGGTATAGACATTACTAAATTGTTGAAGAGGGTGGACGCAGCTGTTTAATAGATATTTCAAACCTTAAATGCTTAATCTTTAAATTAATAGTAGCCAAAAAAAATTAATATTTACATATGTTCAATTTTAATAATTTTGTAATATTCAGGGACTATAGGATTTTGTTAAACAAGAGGTATACCGAAACTACTTTTTAGAAGCCTATCAGATATAAAGTTAATGCCGGCGATCAACAATATCAGCCTATCCGATTTTAATATTATAAGGGAAAATAGATTAAACTAAAAATATAGCAACAAAATAAATGTACATATTACCTATTCAATTTTAAACAATTATTAATATTTCATCATAAATATAAAAAAATCCCGTCATTTTGATATATCGGATCGCCCAATCTAACCACATTGACCGGTGATCTATATTTTTTAAAATACGAATAATTTATAAATGACCGAAATTAAATTAGGCCATCATTTAAATTATGATAGATATATTTTTTCTCATAAAATATATTTTAAAACAACTATTATAGGCGGAGTCATAGAAGCTTCGATTTCATATACGGGTGATGTTTCTGATCCCACTAAAACAAAATACAATATGGATTATTACTTAAAGTTAGCCGACGAGCTAGTCAAAGCGGGAACACATATTCTTTGTATAAAAGTAATTTATTTATATTAATGTTTAACTAGTATAGCATATCTTTCGGATTTTTTGCTAAATAAATAAGCAAACATGAAATTAGTTCCGCCTTCATTTTTTTTTTCAAGTTTCCCATTGATAAATATATATTGTAAAAATAAATCAATGAGTATAACTTAATCCTATATTTAGGACATGGCCGGTTTGCTGAAGCCACACGCCGCCCGCCTTCTTATTTCACGCATAAAAGACCGTTTTCCTCATGTTCCTATTCACTTCCATGGGCATGACACTGCTGGCTCAGGCGTCGCCACTGCCTTAGCCTGTTTCGAGTCCGGCGCCTCGGTCGTAGACTGCGCCGTCGATTCCATGTCTGGTCTGACTTCCCAGCCCAGCATGGGAGCTGTAGCCTGCTGCTCGGGGCCAGGGCACGCAGGTTTTAAAAACATATTTTAACCTAATAAACAATCAAGTGCTCTTAAATTAATATTACCATTTTTAATTTTAAGTGTAATTTTGATATATTTTAACTTATAAAAATTATTTCATTCAAAAAGAAGGACCCTTTTCACTTTAAATTCTATATTTGAAACTTGGTGATAAACGAAAAATTATAAGATTTCTGATAAGTCACGTTATCATGTATGAAATATGCTTTAATAACTTTTGCAAAAATATTTTTTACACCATATAATAATAATTCTATACTAAAATAAATTTAGAAGTATTTCTATTTTTCTGGAATTAACACTTTTATACTCAAATATTATTGAAAAATAGTAAAATATATTTTTTGCTTCTTCGAAAAACATATGGCATTGTAAAGCTTATATAAAATGATATGCAAATTTCAATGATTCGTTGTTGCTTGATTTTTTAAATAGGAATGTTTACGATTACGTTTCTTTAATTTAGTAAACACTTATTTATTTGGCGTCTTACAAGATCTACTTATTTTATTTTTTATTGGGGAGGGGGGTTAATTGCTATCGTTATGGCTTATTATTCTTTCTCTATTTTACATTAGATAATTCAAAAAATAATATTTTTACATTATATTGCAGGTAAACAAAATAATTGGTACCGACTTATAATTTATTTTAATACTGATATATTAAATACTTAAAGCAATTATTTTTGATACCTCCTTTTAAAGGTCTTGACCTTAACTCAATATTCCAATATTCCGCTTTTTGGGAAGAAACACGTCATCTCTATTCTCCATTTGAATGTTGCACCACTTTGCGTAGCGGAAGTGCCGACGTTTATGAGAACGAGATTCCAGGCGGTCAATATACCAATCTACAATTTCAATCATTTTCCCTTGGACTAGGTGATAAGTTTATGGAAGTTAAGAAGGCCTACGTTCAAGCTAATAAATTGTTGGGAGATTTGATAAAGGTTTGGATTTAAGATATTAGTAATTTAATTCTTATGGCGAATTACTAAATCGTAAGTATTTCCATATTATCAGTGTTAATTTATTAGTATACATTTTTTATCGATAGAAAAATTGTATTAAATACAGAACTACTCAGTGAAATTTTTGATATGTAAAAAATAAATTATTGATCAGTGAGAAAATAATTGTGAAAAATTTTAAAATGGCTATTATAAAAGCCTGAATTCCATCGGACTAGGATAGGGGGCCGAGTACCCGAATCCAGGTAAAATAAGAGTATAAACTTCTGGATGACCAAATCAAAATAAATGTTGAAATAATATAGGTCTATATTAATCACAGTTGAACTTCTTTCTCTATTATTTACCTCCTTCATTTTGATTAAAATAATTATTGAAGCATCGTAAACTTGTATTAGATTATTTTACTGGCTAGACTGAAAAACCTTTGATCTCTATAAATTAAATTTTTGGACAAAAATATACTTGTCTAGTTACTTAGAATATTAAGCTTTGTTTTAAAAGTTGGTTCAGAAAATGTAATTTGGTTTCAAAAGGAAATAACATATTTGTTGATAGTTTGGGGTAACATTAATAAAGCCATTTAAAATAGTTTACTAATAAATCGGTGTTTCTATCATTAACGATTTGGGTAGGATCTGTATTACGTATATTTTGATAAATAAAAATTTGTCGTTCATGACTAACGCAAAAGGTTACCCCAACATCAAAAGTAGTAGGCGATCTGGCTCAATTTATGGTGCAAAATAATCTCAAACCCGAGGACGTGGTATCTAAGGCCGAAGAATTATCTTTCCCTCAATCAGTCGTAGAATTTATGATGGGAGAGTTAGGAGAACCCTACGGCGGCTATCCACAACCTTTGAGAAATAAGGTTGTATATACTATTCACATTTGTAAGGTTATTTAATTTGTAAATGAATGAATTAATTTTATATAAGATTTATAGACTAACATGATAAAAAGATAGTTATTCTTAGCACATATATACATCCCTTAATTATTATCATATCCTTCTTGTCTTCCATTTCAACGTGACTTACAAATGGCAACGTCTTTGGATTACTATAAGCCCCCCCCCCCCCCCCCCCATAGAGATTTGGTTATTTACATTCCACACTTTAATTTATACCATCGACTTTAAAATAGATATTAAAAGGTCGCAAACCTTTGCAAGGCAGAGCCGGCTTGATTTTACCACCTGCCAATTTTGAAACCCTAAAAACCGAGTTGGAAGGTCTAATAGAAAATTCTTCAGACCCATTGACGGAAAAAGAAGTTATAAGTTACGCCCTTTACCCCGCAGTGACCAAAGATTTTCTCAATTTCAGAGGTTTGTATGGGCCCGTTGATTTATTGGACACTAGGACTTTTTTGATAGGTCCTAATATCGCCGAGGAAATCGAGGTAGGTTCATACAGAGTTGTACATTTGCTCAAAATAAAAAGATCTTCATGATATTTATTTTTTTACCCCTTTATTAAAAGCCCAGATGTTTTTCAATTTTATTAATATAATATTTCTTTTATGTTTTATACCTCTCCTCCTGCCTTGATGAAAATTGAAAAACATCTGGGCTTTTAATAAAGGGGTAAAAAAAATAAATATCATGAACTCGCTCAAAAATCTTCAAAGAAGATCTTTTGTACAACTCTGGGTTCATATATACCCCCACTTTTTTTTCTAAAAATAACATTTATTTAAAATTATTAACTAAATTTTCATGATTTTTTTTTAGACAACTGGTTTCGATTGATCACCTTAAGTGATAATTCAAAAAAACTATAAATAAGCTAAATTAGTCTAAAATTACCAGAGTTGTTAAAGGATCTAGATACAAATATCTAGATATAAAAATGTGGTATCTGTATCTAGATAGATTTTTGATTAAAATATCTGTATCTAGATATTATATTAGACGATGTATCTGTATCTAGATCCATTTTAAAAGTATCTTTTAACAACTCTGAAAATTACCATATCAGAGGTCCGATTTTGTACTGGGTAACTTATGTTTTACTTCAAATTTAGTTTTAAAAAATTTAATTATAGGTGGATTTGGAAAAGGGTAAAACTCTTCATATTAAAACACTGGCTAAGGGTGACCTAACCAAAAAGGGCGAAAGAGAAGTATTTTTCGAGTTGAACGGACAGCTGAGAACGGTTTATATCAAGGATAACTCAGCGAAGAAGGAAATTAAGATGACCCAAAAAGCCGATCCTAATAACAAAGGCTCTGTGGGATCACCCATGCCAGGAGAAATTATAGAGATACAAGTATTCAATATATTAATCTTTAACATGTTATTTCAAAGGCAACGTTTATGCTAAAGTAAGATTTTATAATATTAAAAGCATGGTATCGTTACAAAAAAAATATAAAATTTTAAAATAAAGGTTAAAGAAGGCGCGACCGTTAAAAAAGGTGATCCGATGGTCATTTTATCGGCAATGAAAATGGAGATGTTAGTTCAGGCTCCGATATCAGGGAAGGTTTCTAAAATATATGTACAAAAGAAATCGAAGGTTGATATGAACGATTTGCTGATTGAAATAACTTAAATCGTATTATATTGTCAAAAGAATATGTTACATCTTTTTACATGATAGAAACTCAAATATCTATAAAAAAATTTGATCAAATCTGTGCGAATATTGATTAGAACAAATAATATTTTATATAATTAGTCCAATTTTCTTAATTTTAAAATAAATATTCATAGTTATTACATATAATTTTAAATTTGATGCGATTATTTATTTGAATATACCAGCAATATTTTTGGGTTTGTATTTAATTATAATATCAAAATTATTAGTTCAGTATTAGACAGAATAATATATTTCTATTCTCCCCCCTTTTTTTAATACAAAAGAAATTTTTTATTAACTTATAATAAAACAGTCTTATATACAATTTTTATTATTTTAAAATATCATGGCAATGTTATAAAATTTAATATATATATTTATTTTATTTTTTTGATAATAGCTTTTATATTTATTATATAATATTTTGTGTTAAACATTAATCTCCTTTGATATATTTTCTATATATGTGATCCAACTTTTAAACTTTTCTTCCTTGGTAACGTGGTACTGTAAAATTAAAAGTAATTAATATTTTGAATTTTTGTATAGAAAAATAATAAATGCAATTTGTTTATAAATCTTATCAATAAAAACAAATTAAATAAATATCTTTCAAATTCGACCATGATGGGAACATTGGAACTTATATTATACTATAAAGTGTATAAAATTTTAAGAAATCTAAACAACTAAGATTTAATATTATAAAAATAATTGTAAATTATTATGATAATTCATTAGAAAAAAAATTAACTTGTTTATGTATAAGCATTTTAGGGTCAGTTATAGACGAAATGGATAATGAATAGAGTGGTCTTTCGTTGGGTAATTGTATCGAAGCTAAGTCTAATTTCTGGGTGTCAGGAATAGGTTTGGAACCAAACATAGCGTTATCATGTTTGTTGACATTCGCTTCATTTGGGTTTGAAGAGGAGTTGGTTTCAGTTTTTTTCTGAGTAAATAGAGTTGAAATGTAATATCAGAGTTATTAGATTTAGTTTGGATTTTGTAAAGAAAAAAAAAACTCTTAATAATTGTTAAAAAATAAAATCAAGTTACCATTTACTTTCCCCTTAACGCTATTTTAACTTATTGGGTAAATTTCATATCTAATCAATTATAAAAAATTTGAAAATTTTGCACACCAAGAGAACATCATTAGCAGACATTGAATTCATTAAAAAATAATGAAGCTAAAAAAAACGTTTTTTTGTATTTCTACTAAAGATTTTTTTCGTAAATATTAAAGATTTGTTATATAAAGTTGCTTTTAACGTTATAAATTTTGAACCTAAGATTATTTCCATTTGTAGGTATTTCTAGCGTTGTTAATTTAGTTATATAAATAGTCACCTTTTTTGAAAAATTATGACTATTTACATTTTGAAAAAGGGTCCTTTAGTCTATAAGTAGTTACATTTAAAAACAATTTTTTTTATTCTATTATATCTTAAATTAAAAAGTATTAAATTTTTTTTATAAATTTATGTGCTAATTTTTTTAAATCAAAGTTTAAAAAATAAATTTATAAAGCAGTTTGACAATTTAAATAATTAAAAAAAACATTCCCATTTTAGATTTAAGCTTATCAAACTATATTTGTATGTTTATCTAAGAGCATTCAGAAAAGTGTTTATGTTTTGAGGTATTTTTCAAGCAATTCATTTCAATTTTTAGCGTTCATATGTGAAAATTTTATTTTTGGATCAATAAAAACGCAAAATAATTTTTTGCTTCATTACTTAGAAATATCGTACCAATTCTACAATGAAGCGTTGTATAGAAAAACAATGTTAGTTCTGTTCAATTTATAAACACTACTAGAAATGTTTGTACTTAAGCTTAATACTTCAAACATGTCAAAATGCAAACAATGCAGTGTTCCTCAAGTGTTATATCTAAAAATATAATGTTTTTCGTCAATAGTATTTATATAAATAAATAATTTCATAATAAAATAATATCATGTATGAATAAAATTCAATGATAATCATCTGTCATTACTTAACAAATCGACAAAAACAAGGCTCATTTTCGTGGACCTCTTTCAACTCGAATGACATTTTGCATGTTGTTAGGTGTGTTATGGGAATAGTGCAACTATTTTTTTTAAAAATAACTATTAGTTTCGGAAATATTAGAATTTAAAGTGTAAAAACGTGTTTTGCCTATTTTTGCAAAACGCAAAATAAAAGATTACTCCAAAATTTTTAAATGGTTAAGACCAGTGTTGCTAAGTGATACTTTTGAAAGTAGTATACTAAGACTAACATGACTTGGCAAACATCTAATATTTTAAAAAGTAGCCATGTTACTTTCGCGTTACTTTATGTAAAAAAAATTTATATATTTTTATATGTAATCTAGGTCCATGATATTAATATTTCGGTATATTTTTTACACATTTTATATAAGAAAAATTATCCAATATGTTTATGAGTATTTTTAGATATAAAAATGTGTCGAGAGAATATTCTCTAATGTATCTTTGTTGGGTATTAGATAAATACGTTACCTTTGGCCAATTTCGCTACTTTTTGGATCCAGTTAAGTTAATAAAATATCAGAAAATAATTATTTATTTTTTCTTCTATTATGAGTCATAGCAATTGCTGTTGTGCAGATATAAGAAACATATGATAGATCCAATATTAAAAACTTTCATTTCTTGAATTCTTACCATCATTGGCTGCCGGCAATATATTTTGGTTACCAGGAGAAAAGGTAATCAAGATTGATAAATGAGAGATTTGGTTCAACTGCATCAATTACAAAAATTAAATTATGACCTTATCAGTTAATTTTAGAAATACCTGGTTCCGATATTGTAGGATTAATCAATTTAGTTTTTTAATTTATTTGATGTAGACTCTTAGTATATAAAAAATTTAGGAGATATTTCTCAATCTCTCTGAAATTTTAGGTATGAACATTCTAAATTCAGTAAATAATCATTTTAATAAAACTTATGAATAGTACTTTATGTTGATTTACAATATTATCCTTCGATATTATATGCATCTAAATTTAAATCGTGTATTAATTTTTTTTTTTATTAAGTTCAAAATATCCTGCAAATTTGGGAAAAGGAAATTCCAGCAAGATTTTGTTGTTATCATGTCTCAAAATTCTTTTCTTTGTCTATCTCGATTGGCGGCTATATTTTAAATTACTTGATAAAAAGAATTAAATTCTGCATTTGCAGAATTTAATATAATTCAAATTTCAAAATATAAAGATTATCATTTTTAAAATTATAAATAAATTTTAATATATTTTTTATATATATTTACCAAATAAAATTTTAAAATAACTAACTAGCCTAAAAACGAGTGCGCTACCTCTAATTTTAAAGTAGGCCGTTATTAGCTATGCATACTAAAAAAAAGTAGTGTGCTAAATTAGCAACTCTGGGAGAAACCTATATTTGGTATTAATGTTGTTAAAAACCCCACTTCTGGTCGATTTAAAAACGGCCAGTTTAATATTTTAGCCAAAATAATATCATATAAGCCATATTTAGAAAATAGATGTCCAAACCTTTCTGCCACCTATGAGTAAAATCTCGAGGCTTACATAATATTTTGGCTAAAATTTTAGCGTTTTCAAAAAGCGACCCAAATCGGGCATTTTAACAATAGATAGCCCATTAAGTCCTTTATTTAAAAAATTTTTTTTTGATCTTCGGTGTTTTATAATTTTCAAAAATCGTAAATAAGATATTTTTAATATCTGTAACTTGTTTAAATTTTCTATAATTTTGTAAATATATTTAATTTTTTGATCGAGCCTGACCCAGACCCGCAGCCCATATTTAATATTAAAAGAAATTTCCAAACCAGGCTAAAGCCCATAAGTTTCAAAAAAATTTCCCAAGCCCATATCCAAAAATTAAATTTATTGTATTTGATGAAAATAAGCAATATTTAAGTGTATTAACTATATAAATCATTTTTTTACAATTTATTTTAAAAAAATGCATTAGCAACTGTTTTAAATAAGCTAAATCGAATCCCATTAAAAAAAATACAAAAACCCAGGTCCGATAAAAATAAATCAGCTATTTAAAAAAAAACAAGTACAAAACATAATTCTAGAAAATTTTAAATACGATATATTATTTTTATAAAATTTGTGAATTTTCGAATTTTTTTAAAATGGTTTTGAATATAGCCTTAAACAAATATAAATTTATACTAAAAAAAGGTTGGAGTAAAAATTGATTTTCGAGTTTTTTTATTTTTTATTAATAAAAAAGTTCAATATATATGGCATTATGAAAATAATATTAAATAAATCCCTTTAATTATAATATAATTTAATAATAAATAAAAATATTTTAATTTAAAAAATTTTTTAAAGTTAATGTTATTTAATTGCATCAATTAACAAAGAAAAATAAAAAACCTACAAATATACAATTATATTATATTTAAAGGATATGAAAACCCAACCCTAAATAATATGCTATTTAAGAGAGTGTGGTGAATGTCCTAAATTTGAAAATATAAAAAATGATATTTAAAATGTATTCAATATTTAAGACATGTTAGATAACATATAAAAGCTGGGTTTCTGACCATAGAAGCATGTTAGACACATGATATTTCACCAATTGATTTTATATAAACTTGTAACGATAAATTGAAAAACTTTCTTTTTTATATAACTATAAAGTCACAATGTCCATAGCAATTTAAAGTCATATTTAAAAAATAGGTAAATAATAATATTATATTTGAATAATGGTGATTCTTTTAAAATAAATTATTTTATATTTATCTTTTTAAATGATAAATAATATGAAAAAATTAAAATCAGTTTTATTAAAATCTAGACCAAGGAAATGTCACAAATATTAAAAAATCCAATTTTATCTTTTCGGAAATGGGAAAACACTGGAGATTAAATTTTAAAAAATTAAGGGGATATCTAATGATACCAAATATAGGCTCTACAATTTAAATCTATTCTTTTTATGCGTTTTTGTCAAAAGAAGTAAACGCCATTTTTAACACTACCCTAATATCTCCAAAACATAAGGGTTACTTTAAATTTTTTTAAAATTATTACACTATTCCTCACAAACCTACTTAACAACTATGCAAAACTGTCATTTGATTTGAAAAATGCCTATGAAATGCTGGCAATTTCATGTAGAAAGACACTCATATATCTTTTTAAATCTAGTTTATAGTTTCCATTTCCAATTATTATCTTAAATTGATATCCCCACCCCCACCCCAAAATAGATAGATACTGTTAAGTAAGCTTTTACTTTGGAGGAGCTGATAAAAGGGATCTGTGAAAAATTGCTCGAATTAATAGATTCAAGTAAACTTGTCTTTTCGATGGGATTATCAGGATTTGATGCTAATTTTATATCTAAATATATAATTAATAAAACTTAAGTAATTAATGATCAACCTCTTGTAAAAAGAAGGGAGTTTTTCATTTCCTTAATACTTTTCAATGAAGTATCTTGTTTTTCTAATAATTTAAGGAATAAGGTACATATATATATATATCACTTAATACCTGCATTTTGTAAAGCCTGTTTTATACCATGTCTAAGATTGGCACTGTTCTTATAATTCAAAAGATTATATATTCATCACAATTAAATTACTTCCGGATATTTGAGAGCACTTTTCCTTTCCAATAATAAAATAAATTTAAAATAATACTATTTAATAAATGTAATAAAAATTAGTAGGACTGTGTCGACCCACCAATTTTTCACTTATCCAATAACCAATCTGATATTCAGATCTTGTGAATTTGGCATAAGCTTGAATTGTTATTTTGTTCACTAAATTTCATTTTACTTAATTTTTTTTAACTTTGATTAACTTTAAATTCTAAATATTCAAATATAAAAATAGACTTTTATTTTTAACTAAATTGATTGATTAAAAAACAATATATATCAGAGACATGGAAATCCAGCCCTAAGCCTTGGTAGACAGGCTGAGCCATATTTTAATTTTTTTTAAACCCAAGTCGGACCTGAATTTTTTTTAAAATACCTGGGCAAGGCCTGAAATTATTTTAAAAAAACCAGGCCAGGCTGTATATTTTAAATCCTAATATTTTAAATAGCCATTATTAGCTATAAAAGTTAAAATAATATATCTTATAAAAATCTGGGACAGGTTTGAAAATATAAAACCCGGGCCAGGTCAAAATAAATTTTTGAAAAAAAAATCCGGGCCAGGCCATGTAAATGCTATCTCTGCAGGTCTCTGGTATATATATACACTTCCCTCTATTTTTGATTTTATGATGTAAAAAAAAGATTTAAATAAAATTTCATATTCTTAAATCATCCCTAATATATCATCTTGCACTTAAATTAAATAAGATATAAACTTTATTCTATACCTGGACTTACTAGAATTCAAGTAATTTATTAACTTTAATTGTAGAGATTCAAAATAAATTTCTTAATCTCCGCAATAAAAAAATCTAAATTTAGATGATATAAAAGCTAACAGAAGCATTAAAAGGCATGCTTCCATTTAATTACTATAGAAGTTCTTCTCAGAAAAGGTTGAGTAGGGCTTCATCAACTATTAGAATTGTTTATTCACAATATGTTATATTTGATCTATATATGATTATAAAAATTATATCTTAAAAAATTCTTATAATTTATAAATAATTCTAATATCAAATTTTTTTGAGGAATAATGTAAATTTTCTAGAATATATTTACCAACTATATTAAAATAATTTTTTATTCATTAAAAATATTTTAGATTGTAATAAAATTATATGCCACTTTTTTATCTAATAAAATAGAAAAACTTATGCTTTATTTAAATATACTAAAAATTATTTAATATAATAATCCAAGGTTAGATAAAATGATGGGTCAATTAATTAAATAGAATAGGTTAAGGCATCTATATGGAATAAATTTATATCTACATTAAAAATAAATAAATTATCCGATAATAAAGGAATTTAAAATATATAGCAGTTGAAATAATGATAAATGATGAAATTCACAAAAAATAAATAAATTATATAATAAAATCTATAAGCTATAGAAAGCCTATTTTAAATTATTTAAATTCCAAAAAATTATATATAAGTAAAATATAGCAAATGCATCATATATGCAATGTTGACTATTAACCTAATCAATTTTTGTTTTTGAAACAATAAATATCGGCTTTAATTGGGGAGTGTTAAAAAGCCCAATCTAGTTGATTTTTAAAACAATCCAATTATGATTTTGGCAAAAATAATATTATGTAACTCAATATTTGACAGATATCCAAACCTTTCTACCATCTATGAGCAAAATCTCCATGCTTACATTAAATTTTGGCTAAAATCTTTATTGGATCATTTTTAAAAATTCACTTGAATTGGGCTTTTTAACAACCCTAGCTTCAATTCAACAATACTGACATATTAAATTCAATTAAAAAAATTTGTAACTAGATGTTAACATTAAAAGCTGATATTCTTATTTATTAAATCATTATACTATAAAATAAGGCTGCTTATTTATTAAATCATCATACCATAAAATTTATATAATCTACATTTTAAAAGAATCTGTAATAATTTAAACAAATTTTAACCTTAAGATATTATTTACTAAGTTTAAAATATATTTAGAATATTATAGTATTTATCACTTTGATATTTTTTCTCCCAAAGATTCTGAGCTAGAATGAGACTTATTTCTATGTCTATCCTTTTTTTTATCATATTTTTCTGATTTATAATATGAAATTTTTTTATTTGATCTATAATTTGATGAAGATGAACTAGAGCTATAAGCTCTTCTTTTACCCTTTCTTTCTGATCTTCTATCATCCTTGCTAGAGTGCTTCCTTATATATTTTGATGATCTTTTTTGTATATATAAATTTATTTAATTTTTATATAAATTATATATTTTTACTTGGCAGATTTTGATTTTTTTTTTCGGTCATTACTTGATGATCGAGCCATATTTTTGTAAAGACGATTGGATTTGACAGTTCACATACGAGCGTCCGATTGATATCTTATTATGGCATGATACAAGGTTATTACTTTAGAGGTAATTTAATTAGATAAAAAATAAATAACCAGGTCTGCTTTTATTGTAAAACAATAAAATATATAAGAATATAAAAAATATGATTCAAACTCAGAGATAATAATCACTATCAATATATTACTTTTTATTTTTGTTATTTTATTGAAAATAGTATTGTTGAGCCCGATTTGAGTTGATTTTAAAAAATAGGCCGATTAATATAACCAAAATAAAATTATGTAGGCTTAAAGATTTTGCACATAGCTGGCAGAAATGCTTTGACATATATTTGGTCGAAACCGATCTACCATTATGAGCAAAATATCCAGCCTCACATAATATTATTTTGGCTAAAATCTTAATCAGGCCGTTTTTAAAAAAACACCCAAATCGGTATAATTTTTTTGTTTTTAGAGTTCATATTCATCACAAAATTATCCATAAAATACTATAACATATATACTAATCCTCCTAGTCTTGTTAAAAAGTCCGACTCAGATCGATTTAAAAAAACGGCCTGATTAAGATTATAACCAAAATAACATTAACTAAGCCTAAAAATTTTGCTCAGAGCTGGCAGAAATGTTTGGATATCTATATGCCAAATCTCGATGCTTATACAATATTATTTTAGCCAAAATTCTAATCGAACCGTTTTGAAAAATCAGCTCCAGGATTTTTAACAACACTAAATCCTTCCTATAGAAATCTCCATGAAAAAAGAACACAGGATTTACTGAATAATATTTGTTACTTCTTTAGTCTTACCAATATGGGAACTAATTAATCACCATCATATCTACTTCTACATTCTATCTATTCTCGATCTTTAAAGAGGCACTATCATCGCCAGCGACATAAGAGGGGGGGATCTTGAGCCCCCGAAGATTCCCCTCAATTTTTGATTTTTTTATATATCAAATATAATTTTGATAACGCAGTTAAATAAAAAGTAAAAAAAAAAGGTTTGGCGCCCCCTAAAATTGTAAAGGCTAGTAACGTTTCTGGTCATCCCTCCAAGTTAAACGAGTCCAGTCAGTAGGGTAAATTACTGCCAAGTGGATGCTAATCTAATGCACTGGGTGCTTTTTATAAAGGATGGAAGAATTGTCCCTGAATATAAGGTTTTCCCAGTAAAGGATACAATAATAATATGATACGATATCAGGAATGGGCTAATTATTCAAAAATTATAATTAATTCCTAATTAAATTATTTACCAAATTTTTGTTACTATTTATAATTATTAATTTAAAAACGCCAATTAATTACCAATTACATATAATCTTGAATTTTTAGTGTAATATTGTAACTTTTTGGTAAAATTAAAAATTTGTTTAAAAATCATAAAAAATAATGAGATTTTATCAAATAACAGGATGATGTTTACTCTTATCTTTTATATTTTGCTATAGATATGTGAATCTTTTTTATTTAAAAATTAATATATATTATAATTAAAAAATGTTATAAATGGAACAAATTCTTGTGATAACAATGTTTTTTTTTGTTTATAAAAATGATAGATATTTGTTTTTTTTCTTATGGATTTGGAAATCATTGTAAAAAAATTCAAAACTACTAGCCAAGCAGCGTCTACATGACAGGATTTTCACTGGATACAAACCCCTTTCAAAAACTTTTGCCTACCCCCCCCCCCTTTCCCCCCCCCCACCCCAAAAAATATTACTGCCGTCGCGGTGGTGTCTTTTTATCATTATTTTCACCTATTTATTTATTGATACTCTTTTCAAAGAATTTATAAAGGATAACTTAAATTAATCTATCTCTTCTACCAACTATCGATATTTTATGAATATAAAGAATTTATTTTTTTAGAAAATAAATTCAATTAAAACCTCCATTATTTACAATGAAAGCTTGCTGAAATATCTAAACCTTTTAAATTACATTTAAAAGAATAGTTTATTTGGAAAACAATGTGTATGATTGTTTGCAATATATAGATTTGGTCGATGAATTGTATTATAAGAATACTATAATAAAAGTATTAATTTTTACAGCAATAAATTTTGTCCTATTTCATCTTAAAATTTAATAGATAACCCCCCAAAAAATTTATCCTATCCCCATTAAAGCAGCTTACCTCATACCCCCTCAAAAAAATAGGATGCAAATTGTTCCTACCCCTCCCGCTCATGTAGACGCTGTAGCCAAGTGAGCAGGATGATGTAGCTATGATAGGGAACAAAGTGGTTATTACCCATCAGATAGGAATATTTTTGACATTTTATTGATTCAGCCCTGAGAAGAGGGTCATGTACATAATTATAAGGGACAAGGGGGTCTATGCAAGTAAAATTTTCGACCAAGGGTTTGCTAGATACAAAAGGGTTTGCTGTCAGTGCGTTTTTTTAACTATGCTGAGTGTTGGCTCAAGAATGCATGGGAGATTGGCCTTATTGTGAAACTGGCAATAAGTGTAATTTTGTTATGTCCATTAATTTTAGATATGAATTTACAATGAAGCACACATTTTTATTTCGCATTACCCTTCAACATAATTTAATTGAAACTGTTATTTTACTTGAAGATTGAATTTTAAATTCTTTTATATTGCATAACCTAAAATTAATTTTTAATTTTTTTGTTATTTCCTTTTATTGCATAACTTGAATTAATTTTTACTTTTTTGTTATTTCTTTTTATTATTGTAACTTAAATTGAATTGAATAATCTTTTTGTTTTACTTAATATTAACGTATATTTAACACATTCAAAGAGAAGATATATATTTATCACACCCTAGTACCTCCAAAACATTAATAATATTCCTATTTTTTTATGCTTTGAAACTAAATGTTTTTACTTGTTTAACATCATAAGACATTTGCATATAAACTATTATAAACATTATATTTATACATTTGATGTTAAGAAATGCAATCAAATTGCTTGTTACAAAATGAAATATCATTTATGATGTCTAAATATATGTATGGGATTAAGACTTGAAGCGCTTTTTCTACCTTAATCAATAAATGACATTTTTGAAAAAATTCTGCTAAAATTTGTTTAATATTTGCTTTTGATGGTTCACTAAGAATAATTTAAATAAATTGTGCATAGAATGAATTTCACTAAAGTAACAAGATTGAACAAAAAGTTACATAAATATATCTTCATATGTAGAAAATTTAGTGGTTTGATTGTGGCTCTTAACGATTTGATTGCAGAGTGCACAAGCAGCACTTGTTGTTTTATCATTTATATCGGTTATTTTAAAAAATTTTGATTAAAACAACTGAATGTAAAATTGTATTGAAGAGGAATTCTCGGGTTATCTTCAGAGTCCAAGGTAAAAGTTAAAGATTCTCTATACGTTTTCGCCAAAAATATAAATGAGATATTTCAATGAAATATAAAAATGGCTCATCATCTTTTTAAAATTTAGAAAATGGGCTAAGAATCAAAAATAAATTAGCGGGGATTGGCTTAGCCTCCATTATCACTATCGATATAGACATCTGGTGTGGATAATTTATAATATAATTTAGGATTAAGGCAACACATTATTTATTCGAAACGCCATAATTTTATTAAATGTTGAATTATTTCATTAACATTTTTATTTTTATTATCTCAGCTAATTTTTTTATATAAAACAATTAGTACTTTATCCTTAGAAACAGACCACCACTTCTATATTTAGATCCAAAAAAGAAAAGAAAATACTCTTATATATATTTTTCTTAATTTTATTTATTTCAATGTTAAAAAAAATTACAATAAGATAACTTTTAATTATAAATATTTAGAATATATAATACTTATGTTTAAAAAAACAAGTTTTATAAAAAAATAAATCCAAAATTTAAAATAATAGAGAGGAAATATAGTGTAAAATGAAAAGAGTAAGGAGAGAAAAGTAAATCTAGCCAGAATTTGTGGAAGAAAGACGTCATTGAAGCTTTTGCTTTAAGGATAGATATGGTCAGACTCTGTCTGAAAAAGAAACTTTTAAGGATCGCCAGTAAGCTTGCAGATGTGAGACCCTAAATCCTTAAAGAAGGATAATGTAAGGCATACTAAAGAAATTTAAAGCGGTTGTTGGGAAAAGTTGTAATCTTTGGAATATTTGGAAATTTTAAGTTGTTCATTTTGCTCAAGTACTTTTGTAGTTTGGTAGAGAGCTAATGATACAAGAATAGTCTTAAACAGAAAATCGCCTCGCCATAGGTTCAGGTAATTTGGCCAGACCGTTTTTTTTCGGATCTAAAATTTCCTGGTGGTTCAAGTGTTGCAGGTATTTGGGCGGATTTTAAATTTCGTTGGATAAATAATTTCTCCGAGGATTCGGCCTTTATACGATTTTCCTTTGCCGTCTAGGCTGCAGCCTAACAGATGTGAAGAAAGGTTATCGTACAATTAAGGCGAATTCTAATAGCGTGGAGGGTGAGTTGGAGCTGAATATTGTTAAAAGGGATAACTTCCAAAAATTCATGTCCGGATCCATTAATTAAAAAAGTCAATAGAGAACGGTCATTTGGTATCATGATAGTAGAGATTTAACGCAGCGAGCTACAACTGGTGTATTCCAATCCGTTTGGTCATTTTTTGAGGCGTGGGAAATGATTTTGAGTTTAGAAAGTATGCTGCTCAAAATAAAAGCAGTTAGATCAAGATCAGTGGGAGATTTAATCCCCAAACCTCCACTCTTGGTAGGTAGTGAAACTAAAGCCCATGCAGTTTCATTGAATTTTAGGTTCAAGATATATTTGGTTAGATCTTTAATTCCCTGTTCATAAATGTTAAGAGGGATAGGAAATTTAAAAATAAGTGTTGAGCCCAGAGCATAAAGGATGTGTGTAATGTTAAAAGTTATTTTAGAAGGAAAGAAATTATAAAAAAATCCTTGAATTTCATAATAAAATTAAAATTCATTTTTAAAATATGTAACGCCGCCGACGCCATCATTTATTAAGCGAAGGCTAATTCAGTTAACCGATGAAGGACATAAAAAATATTTAAAAAATCGCTATGAGCGATTAAAACTTAGAGCACAGGTATATTAAATCTTAAAAATAAAGGCCAATAATAACGGTACTGGTTGTTGGAAAAGATAATAAATTAATAATCGGCAATCAGGTTTAAAATTTTTAACTTTATTTTACACCGGGAGCTGTGGGACTCTCGGTCATGAAATAGATGTTATTGATTCATTAATACATCAAATTTCCTTCTAGAAAATTTATAACCCCCATAGACATTTTTATAAATCGTAGCCGTTTCTGCTTTATTAGAGGTATAGAGTAAAATTCTAAAAAGTGATGAAAAATGGCTTCATTTTTAACAGGTTGTGAGCCGACTTTAAAAGGCTAGATTGAAATTTTAAGCGAAAACTATCATCTTAGCCTCGGAGGTTTTAAAAGAATAGCTCAATCTTGAAAAAAAAATAAACTATTGCCTTAAGGTTTAGCGAATTTTTCAACTGTTAGGATTGAACCGATAACATTATAGTTATCAAGTTCTTTTGTCCCTCTACAAATGAACCATGTTTTTTATTGATTGCCTTATTTTAAAAATATTTAATCATCAGGAAAATGTTGACAATTATATCGAAATATCATGTAGATTATTTACAAATGTCGCTCGATTAAGTAATTATATTTTTATTTTAAAAATATACCATAAAGAAAAATCAAAAACTAATAAAATTAAAAACGGACCAATTTATACCTCTAGAAAGCATCATGCTGTACTATCTAATTGAGCTTTAAAAACGAGAGTAAAATAACTTAAATACTTTTTAATAAAATAATTTTTTTATATTAGAAATTCTTTCCAATATATTTTTTATTCAAAAATAAAATTTTCCTAAGAACCTGGATGAGCGATTTTGCTAGAAGTAAATAAAAATAATTTTCAAATATTCAAATTCTATTAGATTATTGCTGGGTTTTGACAATATATCGATTCTAATGAAATATATATATAATTCCCCAACTGTGTGAATATCTTATCATGCAGCTGGTGAATGAGGATTTATTCTTATAAATTTTATCATGGTAAATAATCGAGTGAGTTTAAGTGTAAATAATTTGTCAAATTTTAACTAATATTAACGAACCTTCGATATCAGAATAAATTCTAAATCCATATTTCAAAATATGAAACAAGAATCATCGCGCGAATGAAATCTTTTCATACAGCTCAAAGCGAAGAAATGAAAGATTTATGGATTTCATTAAATTGATGTTAATATATATTTTATTTTATTTAGATATCGGTGGAATTATATTTGTGACATAAAAAATTTATTCATATTCTTAAAAAAAATAATTCTATTATATATATTTATATATCATATTTTTGATAATATATAAAAAAAGAAATGGTAGTCCCCGTCAAATTTTTAAGCAATACACTACTCATCCACACCCTCGTCAAGGTGGAAAGAATAATATATAGTTTTGCAACCTCGGATACAACTGAGGAAATATTGAAAATAATGCTCTTAATACGTTAAAAACTCTAAATTTTCTATTAAATTAACAAATTAAACAAAGTAGGAATCCTGCCAGCAACATGGGAGGTTTATATAAAGGAGCACAAGATTTAATTTTAAAAGTGAAGAGATCCCTAAGGCAATTTAAATTTGGTGCCATGCTCACACTCTTAATATAATTGTTATTCGTATTTGTGCCTGTGGAGTTAAATTTTTTTAAAAAAAGATGACAATTAGACGAACTATATGATTTTACGAATGGAGCTAAACGCTAAAATGTTTTCATAAAATTTCAAATTCAAAAAAGCAAAAAGTCTCTTAAAGGAATAAAAAATAAAACAAGGTAAATAAATTTAATTTTTCTAGAAAATATATTTATTTTCAGAAATTCCTCATCATCTTTGCAATAGAAAATTTTATAGATGTTTTTGAAGATGACTTAGCCTCTTTATATGAGCTAAATAATCATGACTCAATCGATTTCAAATGTAGATATTCAAGCGAATAGGTCAATTTATATTCTAATAACGCCAACTATGGCACAAGAGTATTGAACACACCTCGCTATGGAATGCCTATGGTAGTCAGGGGCGCTGCTAGCTTTATATAAAAATGGAGTCCGAAAAGATGCTAAATTATTTTTAAAAAAAATGTCTGTAATTTTATTTACTCAAAATTATTTACAATGAATTTTAATTAAACTGTATATAACTAATATGAAGTATAAAGATATATGTTTATAACAGACTTATCAAAACAGAAACTACTGAATCGTTTTATCCGTATTTCAAACGATATTTGTTTCCGTTTGGATTTCTAGCCTAAATTAATAAAATCAAATATTTTATAGATATTTGGAAAACAATTATCAGAGGTCAATATTTTCGGATCGGCTCGGATTTGATAAGAAAACAATATTATTTTCAAGTACAGCCAAAGACTTTTTAAAAAAAATTTGGCCAAGTCCTAATTTTTTTTCTTTCTTTCTTTCTTTCTTTCTTTCTTTCTTTCTTTCTTTCTTTCTTTCTTTCTTTCTTTCTTTCTTTCTTTCTTTCTTTCTTTCTTTCTTTCTTTCTTTCTTTCTTTCTTTCTTTCTTTCTTTCTTTCTTTCTTTCTTTCTTTCTTTCTTTCTTTCTTTCTTTCTTTCTTTCTTTCTTTCTTTCTTTCTTTCTTTCTTTCTTTCTTTCTTTCTTTCTTTCTTTCTTCTGACAATTTTTTGCCCGGTCCCTGAGACCTTAAAATTAGTTTGAATAATTTTGTTGTATTTTGCAAATTATAATGAAAATGGAAAATATGAAAAGTAAATGAATATTAAATGCTCAATTATGATGATTATTTCCAATATTTTTCAACTGATTGATTTAATATAACTTAAATTAATTTTTTTTGTAAAAATCAGTTCGGATTTATAATTCGACGGGGATCTCTGATAATTATACAAATATTTTATAATTTAAATAGAAAAGCTACTCATTTATAAAATCTAAACACAATAAGATTTTAAAGATTATAATTGCCACTTAACGCTCATCCAATCATTTCCCTCCAATCTATCATTGTAATGGTCAATAGATTACTAAATAAAGCATTTGACTTCCGATTGATTTTGTATGAATGTAGCTTAATCTGTATAAAATATTATTAATTCAATCCCTAAATTCTTCGCTTTGCAAAATAAATTTTATAGGACGTTTTTGTTCAACAGGATATTAAAAACTTTCTTAATTATTAGTGTATTCACAATCGAATAAATAAACATAGGTTATAAAAAGTATAAATATAGACAAACAATTTGAGAAATTTTGAGACAAAATAATTAAATAGAAAAAAGTTAAGGTTGAAATGGTCAGCCACCTCCATGACCAGTCTACCCAAATAATATAAAATATCAACTTTTTAAATTTGAATAATCATTTTTTTAAAGAAGAAACGAAACTTTAGATAGAATAGTTGGAGAAAAGATCCCAATTTTAAGGCATTAATTGAAATAGTATAATTTTATTTGATAATTTATTAATTATATTCCTGTCAAATTCTAGATACTGCTTATACTAGTATTGCAAAGTCTTCATTTGTCAGTATACATAATCGTAGTGTTGTTAACCCGCCTTATTTTTGAAAACGGTTAACCCAACATTTTATCCAAAAAATATTACCCAGGTTTGTAGATTTTGTTATGGCAGAGATGTTTTGACATCTATTAACAAAATCTCGAGGCTTGTCTAATATTATTTTGTCTAAAATCTTATTTCTTAATTTAAAATAGGTTTAATTGAGCTTTTAACAATACTACATAATCCCATTCGCATAATATTATAAATGAGTGATCAAAGCTTCAAGCTAATAAAGAAAGTATACATTTACTACACAAATCAAAATCTTTAACTAGCATACAATAAAAATAAATAAAATTTAAATACCAAATAAATAAACAAATTGTTATGATAATGATTATTTATTTGCATAGTATAATATTGTGAACATTGTGAACAATTTGAAAATATTACCTTTAAATTCAAAATTTACTAACAAAGTCTATACCAAAATAAATCCCTTAAAATGTTTTATAGCATAATAATTCATCCCTAATTTTATCTAAATTCTTATTATCTAGAATGTTCAATATTTAATATTTTAAAAATAGCTAAAATTAATCTTAATATAAAAATAATACTCAAATCAGTATTAAGTCTATTTCGAATGGACAGCATTCTTTCACGAGATCCATGGCTTCTTTTTTCTTTTGGATCACCAGTAAGCTTATAATCATTTTTCATTAATAGTAATAAACAAAACGTAAACATTTTATTTGCATATAAATATAAATTTAACCAAAATTCAACAAAAAACACAGTCTAACATCGCATCTACGAAAATAATGAACATTTTTCGCAAAAAGAATAGTGCATATTTGTATTAAAAAATCTCATTTATTTAATATATATTAAATGGATTCTTTGCGAACGCCTAAAAAACCATTCACCACCCCAAATTCCAACAGCTCTCCATATCATTCTGGGGAAAGAAAAGGACCTATAAAAACATCACACAATAATTCTTCCTTAAAAATCCCTTATCAACTAACCCTGGATATTTCTAGCGAATCGGCAGGGAGTGGGGATGAAAGTGATATAGGGCGCAAAAAAGTCGCCGTCTATCCCAAACGATACAAATCAATGTTCTACAAAGAGAAAACTCCTTTTGGTATATTCGATAAAATTGATTGTTAGGAATCTAAAAAATAAGTTTGTATCTAAGATAGAATTTTTTTTGAAGATTTAAGTAGACTTTTGGCATTATATACGATATAAAGCAAGCTGAATTTTAATAACTAAAGATCAATTTAATAATTTTAAAAAATTCATCCTTAATATATATATTAAAAACTAAATTAGATACAGCAAAAATGTTGTTTTAAACAAATATTTGCCCGTAAATTTTTTTAAATATATGTCATTCAGGAATTTATTAAAGAGGCAATCTTTACATATAGATTACCCCAAAATATGAAATGCTTTAAGCTTTTTTATATTTATTTTAGGCTAAATGAACAAATTTCTTTCCCTTCCCAGTCATGACCACTTATTTTATGTTGATGAGATTTGAGAGAATTTTAAGACAATAATCCATATTAAATCATCATACATTAGCGACCTACTCTTATTTAAGTTTTATCTCAATATGTATATACTTATATCGAAACTTTATTTTACTAGCTATGAGACAAATGGAAGCTTTGGAGGTAAAAAAATCACATCCTGGAAAGATTCCGGTTATATTTTGATGGATTATTTAGATTAGGCTATGTCCAAAATTTTTAAAAAGTCAAATTTTAAAACTTTCAGAAATTTTAAAATTTTAGGTTAAATTTTAAAAATTTTCTCGACTTATATTTTGAACATGTTTTATTTTTATATTAAGAAAAGCTTAATATTTCTTTTTCAATAAAGTTTCAAAAGTTTGCGTATCGAATTTTTTGATAATTTGGACACAGCAATATAAATAAAATGTTAATATATTATTCTGAAAAATTTAACTTAGCTTTTTTAAAAAACTATGCAGGTAATTATCGAACGACATAAAAACGAAAAGATTTTACCTATCTTGAACAAGTATAAGTTTTTGATTCCCCAGGAGTTGACGATTTCTCACCTTTTAGGAATTTTAAGGTAAATATCATGTCTAATATAATCATTATGATATTATATTAAATTTAGAAATCGTATATCTATAAATTCCATGCAGACTATTTATTTACTTATAGCCGATGGTAAAAGCATGTGCAATCTGAGCTGCCCTATCGTCGATGTTTATCAAAATTTTAGAGATCCTGATGGATTCCTGTATATGAAATATGCTTCCCAGGAATTTTATGGCTAATATATACAATTATTTTGACTAGTATCATTAAATGGTTATTTATTATGAAATAACAGATTTATTTTATATATAAAAAAAACTAAAACATTAATAACTTATAATGACAAATATGTTATTGTAACGTTCCCCCGCACAATAAAAGCTTTTTAACACCAGAGAATTTTATATTATAATATTACTCAAAAATATATTATAAAATTCATATTATAAAATTCTTTAAAAATATATTTTATAAAAATATATAATTTTTTTTTAAAAACTTGTGTATAACGTTCAGTTGTTTCGTCGTAAAGAAACAGGCAATTGCAATAAATTGAAGTCTTATTGCTGCGATGTATTACAAAGTAGACGATAGAGCTGCTGTCCGATTTATTTATATTTTATATTTTCGATTTTTAAAATAAAATATAGAAAATATGGGAAACGTGAGGTTAAGTGACTAGGCTAGCCATCCCCTCCCTAACTGTTTGAATTATATTGTCTCCAAATGTGTATATTTTCTTTTATTTCTAATTAAAATATATTCCTTTTCAAATATATAGGACAATTATAATAAATGACAATCATCTAAGTAATTTTTCTAAAGAACTTAGGTATAAAAATATGAATATTTTAGACTATTGGATTATGTAAATTGTCTGATATCAAACTGTGTCGGCTACCCAAGTTAGTTTGGAAAGATATATTTCAACAATTAAATGTATACTATCTTTTTATAGATGTAATTTGAGTGAGACGAATCTTGAAAGTATATTAATTGTGCGGCTTAATAAAAAAATTTTAAGTAAAATTGTTTATATAATCATTATATTTATTTGTTATATTTATAAATTAAATATTATTTTATAATATGCAATTAATAAAAATGAAGCTTTTATGTATGTATTTTTTATTTTGATGATGAATTAAAAAAATATATTCTTCCCTATACATAATTCGAATGTAATTGAATACAAAAGTGTTCAAACCGGTTTTTAGAGATTCGAACCGAACCGATATTTTTATTTTTACGAACCGTACCTAAACCTTGAACCGTTATTTCAATCCGAACCTGAACCGAACCAATATTCGTTTCGGTTTGGACCCCTAATTATTATAATGTTGCTATCGGATTAATTATGATTAATATTATTGGTATAAAATGTTTATTATATTGCAATAAAGAATTACATGAAGTTCAAGTTATATATATATATATATGTACTCAATATTTTAAAAAGAATGTTTGGGATATAGATTTTTACAAAAATATATTCTTAAGAATTATTGCATATATAAACTTACAAAGTATTCATGAAAAAAAATATGGTGTATTAAAAAATAGGAAAAATATAATTAAGAAGCAACCCCCGACAATTAAAGAGTTTTCATGTATTAAGTGTGTTAATATTTTTTACTTTTATTTATTATTTTTTTAATAAAAATGAGTTCAATACAAAACGATTTCTAATTTACATATTTATATCTCGGATAAAAAATATTGTATAATTCTGGATGTACGTAAAAAAAATTCTGAAATATGAATCATTAAAATTAATTCTTAAAAGAGTGGATAAACGATAATTTTATAAAGGATTATAAAAATGAAACAAAATAATATTTTTTTAAAATAAGGTGCAGGGTCATTCAAAGAATAATTGAATACTTAGGAAGTAAGATCAGCAGATGAAAAAGATCCTCTGACATAGAAAACACTTCATTTGGACTTCGGTGTCTACAATTATTTTTCCAGAGGCTTTCAATTAATTGGAAAGTCTCATCCAAATGATTCTCAGTGTTAATGACTATGAACATAAAATTTGAGTTTTAAAAGTCGGAATATTTATGTTTTTTAATGTTTCGGTGAGGGCCAGAGCAAAGTGTGAATTATTTTATTTAGCTGAGAAACAAATACAAGTATAGTCTCAGTCTAATATAAGATAGTGGACACTCATTGTCCAAGATATCGTGTAAGGTTAGATCGTTGTCTGGGATGAGTGATTGGAGATTAGGAATACATTGGAAGATTTAGATAAAATGAAGGCTGATATAGGTGTGCATAATCGGAAGCGGATGCCCATCCCGATTTACTTGGTAAAGTGGAATTTAGCAAGACGGAAGGGGAGAAGTATATAAAAGCGATTCTAATAGGTTATTAATTTTAAGATAATTGGAGGCCAAATAATTCTCATTTTTGACTTTCATAGAATTTAAAATTTTCGGATGTTGAAGAAAGTAAGAAAAGCTTGGTGAACTGGAAAGAACTTTAATAATAGTGCTCGGTTGTTTGTAGTATTTACTATTAAGGGATTAGTTAAAAGGGTCTTAGCTGCCCCATTTCATCCTAAAAGAGTGTCTAGATGGGTGAAATTATTTATGAATATACCTTGGAATAGGTGAAGGAAAAGAGGTGGAAAATGGAACGGTGAGCAAATTTCACACTTGGAAACTATAGAAAGATCTGTAGTAGGGTACACGTTTTCAATTAATTTGAGAATAGATAGTATATATCCTTCGAGATGATTTCAATATCGAAAGACTAACAATTAAGAGATAAATCGATTTATATTTAATAACAATTAACTATGTACCTCTAAGTAACAGAAAGCTCGACTTAAGGGGTCTACTTGATGGTTCCCTTTCGCGATAAAAAACATAATTATAGAATTTTAAAAATAAAATGGTGGCATAGCTATAAATATAGTTTGAATATTTAAGGTAATTTTAACAATAAATAGGAACAAAACTCTCTTTTTAGATTGTATTAAATGCTTTTTATAAAACGTATTTTAAAAATAGTTGATTAGAGTTGGCCTTAGAAAGATAAATTAGAGCGGAAGGGGCCGAGGATTTAACCTTTAAGTATACCGAATCTTATTTATTAAAATTTTGAATAAGGAGAATCTATTTTACCCAATAATTTTTAGTGTTGTTAAATGGCTCAATATTTAAAAAAGGCTAACCCAATACTTTAGCCAAAAAGTATTATGAAAGACTGAAAATTTTACTCATAAGTGACAGAATGTTTTGAATATCTATTAACGAAAGCTTGAGGTTTGTTAGCCGTGTTTGAAGATCGAACCGATTAACAACACTGGGTTTCACTATGTAAATGGAGTCGTAGTTTATATTATAGTTTATATCATGATATCATATAATGATATAGAAAATAATAAATGATCAATATAAAATCATACATTTAAAACTTAAATAACGTTTAATTCTTTTAAATTAATATAGAAATATAATTATTACTACCCTATGCTACCATATGCAAAAGGGATAGTTGTTTCAAGGCGATAAAATATGGCTAGCTTTAATTCTCAGATGGCCACTCATTCGATATGATCAATCCAAGAAAATTCAGTGAAAAGATAGCACTTCATAATCAAAAGCAAGCGGAGGAAACAGCTGCTTTTGAACAAATTATGAAAGAAGTTGGATTAGCTACTAGGGTGAATGATTATTTATTGATTTATATAACTATTCCACAAAATATATTTATATTACTATTCTACATCTCTAATTTAGTAATTGACTTAAATTATATCATAAATTTATATTGCTTTAAAGATCACTCTTTTTTTTATATATTTATTTAAGCTAATATATATAAATATATTTAAATAGATTATTTATTAAAGTTTAAAAATTTAGATAACTTTATTTTGAAGCAGATATATTTATTCTAATTAGATGTTTATATAATATTTGATACCTTGGTATAGGCATAATATTTAAAAAATGCCTCAGTTAAAAAAAGTATTTTAATATTTAAATTTTATTATAATTTAATTTTCATTAAGCACTAATTTATATAACATTTAATTGAACTAGTATAATATTTCATTTAGACTTATTATTTAGAATTTATTATGATTATTCAAAATTTTATTTTTAATCTAAAATATAATTATTATAATCAAATCTCAAATATAATTATTGTACAACTATGCAACATTTCATTTATGAAAATTAAATATAAACATGTAGATGAGTGGGGGAAAGGGGTATGCAAACAAATGCCATGGGGAATTTGTGAGTTTTTGTAATATTATTTTAAATAACCCTTTTCCAAGTGAATATGCCATTATAAATAACAATTTATAAAAAATTATTTTAAAAAAAGAGAGAAAAAAGAATGTAAAACCAAAATTTTCTCCAAGGTCTGCAAAAGTGGCATAATATTTCACCCCCTTAGGAAAGTCCTGGCTCAAAGCCTATTGATTTGAATATATCTGATCTGCACCATTTTATACATATCTTAGTTATTTTAATTTTTGATATTTGTTTTTATTAAGGGATAGATATTTATTTAATATTTTAAAAAACTATATTATTAGGTATACTCAGGTTTAATTCCAGGACAGCTCTAACACAATCTTGAGGGTGGCAAAAATTAAATTAGAAATATTATTAAAATTATTATATAAAATCTTGTCATTATAGATAACTTAAAATGGCTAGAAAATGTGTAACAATAAAAAGCAGAATCTATTTTTTCAGGTGGGGCTGTAAAATGATATTTGTTTGACTAATTAAAAAAACTAGAGTTGATTTGGGGTACTAAAATATTATAAAGTTAGGTCACAAATTTACAGTATTAGAAGTTCTTTATTTATAAACATTTAAAAAAAATAATAGTTACACTATGCAAAACCTAAAATAAGGCAACACTTTATAAATATAGGATGAAATATTTTATTTCTCAATCATAATATAAATGTACATATAATTTCACACAAACGGGAATTTGTTTTTAAAAAAGGTTGAATATGTCAAGAGCTAACAAAATTATCATTTTGATTCATGGATATAACAATACTAATATGGGTTCAAATTTAAAAGCGTTTTTTTAGCTCTAATAACGAACTGAAACCTTCTAGACACTGTCTTGAACATTGCCGGACAGCACTTAGTTACTTCATTTTCCCAAACATTTATGATTTATCAGGAGGAAATGCTTTATTTGCCTTGTGTACCACATAATTGCGAACACTCAAATTTTAATTATCAACTTGGACCATCGCTAAAAACAACTTTTGAACATTTGGTAAAGGTCCAATCTTTATATTTTTCGCGAATTAGTATCGTTTATTCTTTTGGCTAATTTATATTAATTTTTTGAGTCAAATGAACAAGATTTGATTTACTATTTTCCCTGATAATTTGTTGTAAACAGCGTTTATTCCTGGATGTTATCACATTTTGACGCCTTTTGAGGCCAATGCGAGCAGATTTGATAGGATCAACTAGTTAATAGTATGATCCTGCGGTGGAGTTTTTTCGGTTTCTCCTTCACGTAAATCAAGAATTTTCTCCTGGATATATGGTTCAATTGGAATTTCACGGGACTTTTGATAAAATTCTAAAATAATTGTGAAAAAGTAAAGTTTAACTATTCTTTTCAGATGATCTTACCTTCACTCTGATTTAAAACAATGGCTATAACACAAAATATATATAAAAATTATTTTGGCCAAAATATAACTATATACAAAATTATACATGCAGAAATTGATAAAACAGGTAAAAGTGACAAAATGTAAAACGCCTCTTGAGCCGATTTTTAAAAACGGCTAACTCAATATTTTAGGCAAAAAAAATATTGGCTGAACCTCAAGATTTCACTAATAGATGTCCAAACCTTTGTTCCATTTATGAGCAAAATCTTCAGGCTTGCTTAATATTTTTCTGGATAAAATAATGTTTGCCTTTTTTTTTAAATCGACTCAAATGGAACGATTTTGCAGGCATTAAAAATTAAGACGATTAGACAAAATCTGATATATATCGGGTCGGTAATGGGCAGATATCAATTTAATATCGGTAATATCGCATCAACCTTTAAAACGTGGTATCGTACACCCCTATTTATATGAAATCTACTTAATTTAAAACCGACAATAATCTCTAAATTTAAAAAAATGTTCTATCGTTATTTTATTCATTTTAACCAATCAAAATTTTTGATTTTTTGACTCAGATTAAAATCGCTTCTGATTTCTGAATAATTGGCTTAGGTTCTTTGAAATCAAATGTTGACCCAAGTCAAGGTTTTCAAGCTTTAGTTTATTCGTTTTCTAGTTAATTATCTTACTTTAAGTATTGTTGGTTAACAAACAAAACAACTGTAATTTATTTGTTTTTTATATTATTTAATTTAAGACTTTGATATAAATTATTTGCATACTTACTTTCACTCTAACTTTATTATTTTCAGAGACTTACAGAGGGGCACCCATTTTTAGTCTCAGCTCGGGTTAAAAAAATTTGGAATTTAGGCACGACCTTGGTTTATAAAATTTATATTATGGCACGGTGTACATTTTTTTTATATAATATTTTCTAAATAGCATAAAAAAAGAAATCGAAATTATAAGAACCAAATTAATGTTTAAATGCCATCATGTTTTCAACTGCTTAATTGTGATTTAAATTTTTTTTAAATCGATCAGGTCTGGCCAGGGATTATTTTATTTTTAGACTCGGCCCTCGACTTTAAAATACCCCAGGCTACATTATTTAATATGTTGTCTTTTGTTCGAAGTTCTTAATTTAAAAAAACAGTTGAAATGAAATAGCTAACTTTCAAAGTTAATTCTTGATATTTCTGATAAAACTTTCAGAAAATCTAGTTTAATAATGTTTCTCGTTTTTAATATTTTGAATTTCTTGACCCCTTTGAGAAACGGTAGAAAACGGCTTACCCTGCATTCACAGTTAGCACCAACGGCGAAGTTTACAAAATATGCTGTTGTATACTTTCCCACGAACGCCAACTGTAAATGAAGTATGTATATTTTTTTTATTATTAAAATACCAAAATTTATTAACGTGATAAAAAATATTACTCCAGGCCGGGCCTTGCTGTTATAGATCAAAGTACATACATTTTTTTTTCGATAAATCAATTCCTCAGTAATATGTTTACTTCCATATCTCAATAAAAATATAAATTAAAATAATTCTTTATTCATTATTATAATGTTATCTCCTATTAAAAATATAAGAAATATTTTTTTAAAAATGTTCTCCTAAAAAAAATTTAAAAAATATATATAGAAAGAACACTATAATACTAAGCTGACGACACATTATCATAATTTTGTTTTAAAATTAGTTGTTTCTTTTCGATAGTCGGACAATATTATGATTGGCTTATTTAGGTGTTAATGTATAAATCCCATTTTATTTATTTTACAAATTTTTAAAATATGTCAACTTCATATTTTTTTATAAAATTATTTTTTAAGAAATCTATCTCATCAATTAAATGACTCGATCAATCAGCATTTTTTTGCTAAAACTTATTGTGTAATAAAATCCCTGAAAACTAACCACTAACTGCTCAACTTATCTTCCTTTGATTATTATGTATTTTTGAACACATCAATTCAATTTTACAGGAGTGACGAAAAGAAAAAAAACCCATGACTATATGTTAAGGGTGTTGCCACCTTTGAGTTTTACTGTTATATTACGCGCCTTGAAGGATTCGCCCATTTTTCGGTTTGAAGCCTTACCCGATTAATTCGAATCTCTACTCTTGGCCAGATATTTTGGAAAACGCAAAAAAGTATGAGGGGAGAAATGGGATTTCTGGTATTTGAACATACTAGTCCCGAATGATTATTCTCAATTCAATCCTGACATTAACCATAAAGTTTAAAACTAAATTTTGACACTAAATCTTTCTCATAATTGTTGCGTAATCGGCTAAAAATATTGCTTAGACTTAAAATCAGCTAAAACTAGGCATTAGATAAGGAGCTAGAAACATAAGTTACTTAACTTAATTATCAATTTTAATTTTTATTACGTAACGCTGACGGACGATTATCCGAGCTCCTTAGCCGATGCAAAATTTTTGATTATTATTTTAGCCAATTTTTCCACCTAAAAACTTGGCTATGCTTTTTTGGAGTCGGCTAAAATTAGCCTATTATTACACAACTCTACTTCACACATCAAAGATATTGGTTGATTTTATTTTTTCTAGCTCGCGCGTTTCGAAGCTGAGTAGTTTTTAATTGAAATGCTATTTTAATATTTAGGATTGGGTTCTTATTGCTTACAGTTGGGTAATTACTATATTTTTAGCTAGTGTTGTTAAACGGCTCATTTTGAGCCGATTTTTAAAAACGGCTAACTCAATATTTTATTAGGAAATATATTATGCAAGCCTTAAGATTTTGCTCATAGATGGCACAAAGGGTTCAACATCTATTAACTAAATTTCGAGGCTTAGACAATATTTTTCTGGCTAAAATATTGAGTTAGTCGTTTTTAAAAATCGGCTCAAATCGAGCCGTTTAACAACACTATTTTTAGCAGTTTAAACCAAGTTTTAGCCAAAAGCTATCACTTTGGGCTATAGCTCAAATTTGGAATAAATTAATATTAATTAAGATACCTTCCCCTAAAGATCGAGCCGACATTTGGCTATTACCCAACTATACTATTGCTACGCTTGTTATTCCATTTAAAAAAACTAGTTCTATTAATATTGCATAAATTTTATGCACTAAACCAAAAAAAAACATTTCCTTGATTAAATTACCTTAAAATTAAATTATGCAATATTTTTAAAACATAAATCTAAAATATCCATAAATAAAACAAATACTCGGATCAGATTAAATAATCGAAAAAAAATAATAACAAGATTCAAATATCGTTCTCAAACAAATATCGATTTTTAATTATTTTTTTTTTAAATGTTAAATATAAATCTTCCCCATATAAATCTGTTTTTTACATTATTTTTTTAAAAAAATACTATCGAAAATGATTTATAATAAAGTGATATTTTATGCGAACGTGAGGTGAGGTGTGTTTTGTTTGGCATGAGTTTGTTATGCTGAAAATTTATAAAGGAGCAACTCCTCTGAATATTTTCATTTTTTTAAAAAAAATATTTTACCGTAAATCTAGTTTATTACTACTTCTCATTTTTTTTTTGAAAAAGGGAATATTTATGGCTTTATACCGAAAGAAATGTTCTAATAAACTATCAAATACTTTTTTTTATTTTGTTTCCGCTATTTTGGACATCGATTTAAAATATTCGATCAGGACGCGGTACACCCTGGTTAGGGTTTCAAAAATTTTTGTAATTATTTCGTGGGAATTAGGTCAAAAAATTAAATAGTGACCGATTTCCTAGATCAGAATATGCCCCGGCCCCATGTTTAAGTAGTTGTCCCTGATTGGGTCCGGAACCTCCTTTTCGGATCGGATTTTTTAAACTTTTTTCAAAAAATAATAATTTTGGCTTTGATTGGACGTTAGTAATCAAAAAAGTGGGATAATTTTTAGGCTCTTTCCGGACTACGCTGGACCTGTAAAGCTTTTTAAAACGGAAAAGGATATAAAATTTGGCAATTTACATTGCCACTGCACTAGTTATACATCTCCTTATTTTATATCCTTGTAAGGAAAAACAAAATATGTAGGATAGTCATATTTTATATATAATAATACCATTTCAAAATCAAATTTATGGATAGCACCGGAAGATGACTATTTCCGAGATCAGGAAGCACCATTACTTGTGATGTTATTAATTTTCTCAGATCTCGGACAATACCGGGTCTGGGTTAGTTTAGTGCACAAATATAAAAAAAACAAATTAATTATACAAATTTTAGGATAATTTAAATTTGCGCTGATCGATTAATTCAAATTATATTACTTTATATTTTTGCAATTTTTTCTTCGTTTCATCTTATTGGCTTACCTATTGGTATAATTTTTTTTTTTAAATATCGCTTTATTATTATGGTTAAAATTCGACATCATTTTGACCAATTTTACAATAGAGTAATTTAAAAATAACAATATGGCCATCTGGTTTATATTATTACTGTAATTATTATTTTAAACACAAAAAGCATGATACAGGTAAAACTCACCTCCAGATATATGTTTACCATATAATGAAGGTCACGGTCCGATTCGACCGGACTATGGTCTTTATAAAGAATGATTCAGACCGTGTTCCTAAATAAAAAGATCAGCCCTGGGCCTGTCTATTTTACTCTTTTGTCATTTTTAAAATATTTTTATTTTACATAATTTAATTCTTGTTTATTGGGACTATAAATAAAATGCATCTTTGGCAAACTTATGGTTTTCATATTGCAAAACAAATATGAACTAAAAATTCACAAAAACTAAAATAACTCCTCTAGTATCATAATATAAATTGAATAATAAAGCAAACTTAAATATTAATAATTGACCGTACCATACTCTGTCCTCAAAATAAGTTCATCCCGGTCTAAGATATATAGGACCGGACCGTTGACCTTTACTATTTCCATATTTAACATTTTAATGATGTTGTTACTTTGAGAACGGTATCAGGGTTTTACTGCATCGCAGATTTAGGGAATGGGAGGGTGGCCCACTATAAGATTTTGTCTTCAATTGCGACTAAATGTTGAGTTATTTATTATAATAATTAGTAGACCCAATATTTAATTATATATAAAACTAACTTATAGCGCGATAATTCTCCTTGCAATAATAATTCTCACATATCGATTAACGGGTCATCTCTGGCGCCATGCGATAACAACTCTATTTATTACGGAGGTTCGTTGCCCAACGTTAACCAAGCTCAAATGTACAAAGGAATTATCGTGTCCAATTCTAGTGCTCTCTTGGATAATGGTTGTCCAAATACAGGGGTAGCTAGAACCAACGGGTGGCTAAATACCCCTATGTCCCCAACGAAGCATGAAATAAATATGGCTAAATTGCATCAACGGGATTTTAAAAGTCATCAAAATATGGTGGGGATCGATTTGCAAGTATAATGCAGTTTTATGTACTCTCAATATTAGGGGGATAGGGAGTAGGTTTTTTTTGGTAGTTTTACACCATCGAACCTGTTTTTGCAGGTCCGATCAAAAAATATTAGTTTTTTTTCGTAAATTTTTTTTTCTGAATACAAGATTTTTGATCAAATTTTGTTCAAAATTCCAAATTTTTTTTTTCAGAGAATAATCTTTCATGACGAAATCATTAAAATAAATTACTTTTCCTAATTTAGAGATTTTATTTAAAAAATTTATGGAGAAAAAAAAGTATAGTATCTTTAAATGCTCATTTAAAAATAATGCTCTATTGGAACCAATTTTTTCCCCGATGTTGGTTAATGACCGGTGCAGTTATATTATCTCAATATGTTTTTATTGAATCAGGTTATGTTTTATTTTACTTTAATAAAATAATTACATATTGATATACTTCTAAAAATAATTAAATAAGTTAAAACCTAAATTACATGATACGTGATATTAGGCGCACTAGCCTAAACGTCATATATATATATACCAGAGATATATATATATATACAACAGAGCAACGCTTGGTTCTCTCATGAAAAGCCGATCAAACTGGGATAAAAGATGGGAAATAATTAAGAGGACCATCCACTAGGCAGGCCGCAGTTACCTTTGCGCGCAAGGGGCAAAGACCCTTACTTAAACGCCCATGGGAAATAAGAGGAGAGGTAAAAAGCCCATGCCCGATTAAATAAAAAATTTGATTATGGGAGGGTTATATTGGCTATATTCATTTTACTATTAATTAGTATGTGAGAAAACCTAGAAATAAACATGATTAAATAAAATAAATACCAGTACAAATACAGTACTATATCTTATTCTTCCAAAAAATTTTGCACTGGATGAAACGCACCATGTCTATTATTTTTCTGTCAAAACCTAAATTCAGTTTTGAATATATATTAAATGAATGCATGAGAAGTTATATCATATGTTTTTAAATTAATTAAATAATATATTATAAAACCCGACGAGGCTTAATATCCTTTAAAAAGAGGTCGGGTCCATCTGATAAGACTTATAATTCTACATCAGACAACCTCATTAGCAAGTAAAAGAATGCTTGATAAAAAGACACTAATGCCCTCTAGGTAGTAAAATCTTTACCATTAATTTAAAATGATAGATCATATGATTGGAAGATTTTTTTACGGTTCATGTTACAATAAATAATTCTAAATTATTTTAATATTTGATTTGGTAATAACCATATTGCAAAAATAAATTTAGAAAGATAAATAAATACCTTATATCATCACCTAAAAATGATTTGTTTAAATTTGATTTGATTATCAAAAAATACTTCCCAGGAGAAGATATCGCCGCGCAACACAAGCTACTAATCATGGATTTACAAATCTCAAATAAATCCACTCAAAATAAGATAAAACTGGAACCATGCATCAAATGGGGCAAATTAAAAACAATGACAGATGCCTTTGCAATCAATGCAAACATTGAAACAATAAATTGCTCACAAGTCAGTGAAAAAATCTGGACAGACCTTTCATCCAGATTAATAAACACTGCAAAATCGACGCTAGGCTTGACAAGAGGAGGCAACAAATCACACAAAGAACTATGGTGGTGGAATCAAGAGGTACAAACCACTATACAGGAGAAAAAAGCCCTTTATAAAATATGGTACAAATCCAAAAATGCAGATGACAAGTCAAGATACAAAAAATCCAAGAGATTAGCTACAAAGGCGGTGGCTAGGGCCAAATCTATGGCATACGATGACATGTACGAAGATCTACATGCCAAAGAAGGGCAAAATAAAATATACAGATTAGCCAAACAGCGAGAAAAGAACTCTAGGGATATAAACGGAGCTCTGAAAGTAATCAAAAATAAAGATGGGAAATTGATAATAAAGGAAAAAGAAATAATGAATAGATGGAAAGAATATTTTCAGGAGCTTCTCAACTTTAATTCCCACATATTGCATCTCGATGAACACTCCCCTTGTCAAAACCTTGTACAACCTATAACGGAACAAGAAATAATCACATGCCTCAAGCATATGAAAAACAACAAAGCTAGGGGTCCAGACGATATTTCAATAGAAAGCCTTAAAGCACTAGGAGATGATGGAATACATCTCCTCACAAATCTGTACAATAAAATACTTGGAAATGAAGAGGTTCCCCAAAAATGGAGGAAGAGCTATCTAGTTCCTATCTTCAAAAATAAAGGGGATCCACACAATTGTCGAAATTACAGGGGCATAAAACTAATGTCACACTGTCTAAAACTATACGAAAAAATAATAGAAAAAAGATTAAGAGATATAATCGAAATAGGAGAGACACAGTTTGGCTTTATGCCTGGAAGATCAACAACCGATGCTATCCATGCAATTAGGCAAATGAGTGAAAAATACAGAGAAAAGAACAAAAAGCTACACATGGTCTTTCTCGATCTAGAAAAGGCCTTAGATAGAATCCCAAGAAAACTTATCTGGTGGGCGCTACGCCACAAAAAAAGTTCCCGAAAAATATATAAGAATAATACAGGATATGTATATGGGACATACAACAATGGTCCGTAGCACAACAGGTACTTCAGCAGGCTTCACAATAGCCGAAGGAGTTCATCAAGGGTCGGCTCTCAGCTCACTTCTCTTCATTACAGTAATAGATGTATTAGCACAGTCTATACCTCAAACAGTCCCGTGGAATATAATATTTGCAGATGATATTATACTTGCCGAATCCAAGGATGAAATGAAAGAAAGGTTAGTGAATTGGATAAATATCCTAGAAACGCACGGATTAAAAGTAAATAGAGAAAAGACGGAGTATATGGTGATAGGAGGAGATGAAACGGAGAGTATTGATATAAATGATTGGCAGATATCCGCAATTAAAAGCTGCAAATATTTGGGCTCCACTATACAAACAAACGGCACAATAGAAAAAGAGATAAAGAATAAGATTAATCAAGGGTGGTTAAAGTGGAGATCTTTATCTGGAGTGCTATTTGACAAAAGAATCCCACACAAATTAAAGGGAAAAATCTACAGTTCCATAGTACAACCAACTATTCTATATAGTTCGGAAACATGGCCAACCAAAGAATCAGACGAGAGAAGTCTACAAACTATGGAGATGAGAATGCTGAGGATGATTGCTGGGGTAACAAGAAAGGATAAGGTGCACAGTACAAGAATACTAAATAGTTTAAAGGTAGTGCCCATTAAGACTAAGTTAATGGTAAACAGACTTAGGTGGTATGGGCACACAATGAGAAGGCCTATGAACTACATAGGAAATAAAGTTGAAAGTTTGGAAGTGATGGGCAAACGTAAAAGAGGAAGGCCAAAACTTCAATGGGGCCATAAAGTTAGAGCCAATATAAAGAAGTATAAAATAGATAAAAGAGATTGTATGAATAACATAAAGTGGAGAGAGATGTTGAAGGAGCTTACCACCAGAAAAGGTGAAAGCTAAAAGAGAAAAAAAAAACTAAAAATGGTCTCTCTATTTTTTTTGGCTCTAATTTTTTAAATAATCCATTTTTTGACCGGAGTTTTGAATATTACACTAAACTTTTTATCCTATCCAAAAGCTAATTGTTTAATTTTTTTAACATTTAAGCTGAGGTATGCAATAAGTATGTTTAACCCACAAACGCGCTCTTCCATTTGATAAAATATATCAATCAACATGTAATGTTTTGAAAAAAAATAATTACTCGCTTAGCTAAAATTCCACTCATAAAATATCGTCATAAAAATAACCCAACAATTTAACATTTTATTCAATGTAATATTATAGTTTTAAAATTTTGCTCAATAATATTTAAAAAAATTAAGTTTATAAACTCCCAAGTTCTAATACTTATGAAGGGTATAAATCAGAGACCCTCCTTTTTAAATATAGAAATTTTTTTAAAAAAAAAATACCCGGGCAGGGCCTTATATTTGAAAACCAAATATTTTAAATCGCCATTATTAGCAATAAAAATTAAAAATAAATATATTTTGAAAATCCGGGCCCGGCCTTGTAAATGATACCTTTACAGGTCTCTGATATAAATACATGATGAATTTAAATTTATTTTATCAAATAAAAAATAAGTGATATATATGATAAATTAAAGATTTTTAATCAGTGGCATCACTATCCTTTACAATCTCAGGGGGGCTCAAAAATTATTTTTTAAATTTTTGAAAATGATCCGTTTTTAACATGCTAAAATGACCTTTTTGGATATCATCCTTGAGATTTCCACGTAGTAGGACAGTATATATTTCAAAGATGAAAATTCACGTTCTACCCTTACTTAAAATAGATAGTTATCTTTATAAAATTATTGTACTTGTGTCGCCGGTACAGTCATGAAGGATAATATATTGAAGAATTTTCTTCCTAGAATTTTAAAATATTTATATCCTTATTTATTCTCTTAACTTCTGAGAATTTTATTATTAAAGATGCAATGGCATTTTTTGATCCTCCTTTCTATCTGATGATAATTTGATATTTTTTTTAAAATTAAAATTTCAAGATCATCAATGTTGCTATCATTATTATTATTATCACTACAACCAGTAGGTATTGTCGTAGCCTCCAATATATGGTAACTAATGGAGTTTTGCGTATGCCATAAATTCTTAAGATGGTCTTTAGCCATTTGTTTCTCAATAAAACTTGGTATCGAGGGTCTAAATATATAGAAGCATATACAACACTATTTTGCAAATTTTGTTGCTCTCGAATTTTCATGTTTTCTAATATTTCATATAAAAAGGACTGTAGATTTTTTAAAATCTAATCGGTATCTATATGCCATAAAAATCAAATAAACATAATTGTTCTGATTGTAATCTTAATATTGTTATTTTTAAAGGAACTAATACACTAGTAAGGTCCTTTATTTGGCATCAATCATCTTCTGACAAAATTACTTCACATACTCCTATAATAAACTCATTACGGCAATCTTTCAAACTT